GATGTTCTTGTTGATAGTGGCTGAGGTGAAGGTTTGGGCACAGCCTGTGGTACAGATGGCCGTACTGTTAGGACTGAGGCTTTGAGGATAACCAGAAGCAGGGGAAGAGCTTCCGTCTCCCAAGGGATAGAGTTAAAGCCTGTGCCACCAGGCCAGGCTTGATTTTTATTTAAACATTTCAAATGTATGTTTCAAATGTCCGTAAGTTGATAGTAATACTTTAAGAACTTATGCCAGTGGTAGTGGTGGTGATGGTGCACACCTTTAATCCCAGCACTTGGGAGGCAGAGGCAGGTGGATATCCATGAGTTTGAGACCAGCCTGGTCTACAAAGCAAGTTCCAGGACAGCCAGGGTTACACAGAGAAACACTGTCTCAAAAACAGAACAAAACAAAACAAAACTTAGTTACTATATTGTTCCTGAAGCAGCAAATTACCACAAACTGTGTGGCTTAAGTAACACAAATTTGTTCTCTCACAGTTCTGAAAGCCACGAGTTTGTAAGCCCAAGTGTCAGCAAGGATGCTATTCCTCCAGAGAATTTCAGAGAGACTCTTCTGTTCCTTGCCTTTTCTGGCTTCCTGTGATGGCCAACTGACTTGCATTATGGCCACTTTATTCTAACCTGGCTTTTTCTTCACCTTCTCTGAATCTGTCTTCACTGTGTCTCTTATAAAAATACTTTGTTGTGTGGGATGTGATAACACACAACTTTAATACTAATGCTTGGGAGGCAGAGGCAGGTGGATATCTCAGAGTTCAAGGCCAGCTAGGGCTGTAAATTGAGACCCTGTCTTGAAAAGTAAAAAATACGTTAAGACTGACTGGCATAATCTAGGTAATCTAATCATAAGATATTTAGCCCTTTCACCAATAAAGCAGTGTTCACAGGCTCTGAGAATTCGGACATTAGCACATGTTTTCAGTGGTCACTACTGTCAGCTACTCCAGGTACTTATTCATTGTTCTGAAAATAAGATTTAAATCTTGCCTTTGCTCCATACTAGCTTTGTATCTTTTCTCAAGCTGATTCAGTTTTTTTGAGAAATAAATACAGGTAATGAGAACATACATAGCAGCCAATGTGTATCTTTGTACTGTTTTATTTGCACAGAAAAGAATGTAATGATGCAAACCTAGTTATTTAGATTTAGTTATCTCTGGAAATAGAATTTCAGGAGCTTGGAATAGAAAATTGAACTTATACTTTTGTTAGAAGATAGAAGAGTTGATCAAAATCTTGTTAAATAAACCTAATATAGTTTTACACACATAGAAAGACTTGCTTTCTATTACTAAATTGTAGAAGGGAATTTTAAGAGAGGTTTTTCAGCATGTGTTTAAGTCTCGTTTGCACTTTGAAGCATTTGAAAAGAAGAGTGTTTTAAGTTTCATAGATGATGAGACTAGAACTTAACATAATTTAAGCCCTTATTGATGGGTCCTATAATTTTCACCATATATTTGAGTTGACTTAGTGATAGTTTTGTGCTTTTGTTTGTTAGAAAAAGCATTTACCTTAAGGAAGAACCTTCCAAGTAACATGTCAACATGTCTTGCTTTTTTTTTTTGGTTTTTTGAGACAGGGTTTCTCTGTGTAGTTTTGCGCCTTTCCTGGAACTCACTTTGTAGCCCAGGCTGGCCTCGAACTCACAGAGATCCGCCTGCCTCTGCCTCCCGAGTGCTGGGATTAAAGGCGTGCGCCACCAACGCCCGGCATGTCTTGCTTATTACAGATAGCTTTATTGTCTTTTTAAGACAATGAAGTATGATTCTTAGATTCTTTAGTAGGGTAGTTCTGAATGTTTGCTGTTTATAACCAGGCAATTTTTAGAAGTAAGAAAATATATATTACAAAATTTTTACAAGGCTTTGGGAAAAAAAACCACAGTTGATTATTAATAGTTTTACCTTGTATTTTCATATGTTCTCTGTCATATCATTGACCAAATAAAAAAGACATAACAACACATGCTGTCAGTTATATAGAGAAAGTGGAACCCTCTTGCATTCCTGCTAGAATTGTATCACTTCATGAATAGCACAGCAGTTTCTCAAGAAAATTAAGCACAGAGTTACCATAAGACCCTGCAGTTCTTTCTTAGATTGAACTCAAGAAATTGGAGAGCTGTGGATAATGAGGCGTGCAAACACGAATTTAGGTTCCCCAAATCCAAGGGCTTTTGTTTGTTTGATTTTTTTTTTTTTTTGTCATACCATACATTTTGATCATATTCTTTCCAATCCCCCAACTCTTCCTAGATCTTCCTGCCCCACCTACCCACCCTACTTCATGTTCACTACCCACCCCCCAAAAAAACCCAAGAGTAGACAAAAAAAGCAAAGGTCAGACAAACAAACCAACCCAATAAGACAGACAGACAGACACACGCGCGCGCGCGCGCGCGCACACACACACACACACAAAAAAAAACATGTGGTCATGCAGGAGGGAGAGCAAGAAAGAATGTTTAAGAAGCTGAACCAAGCAGGTTGGTGCACACATACAATCCCAGAAGATTACCAGGAGTTAGACTACAGAATGAGAGCTAAGCTATAGTTGTAGGTCTGTTTCTCAAAAAACAAACAAATGAAAAACCAAAAACAAAAAGGAAAAAAAACAAAGAAAGCAGGAGCGCCAGGCAGTGGTGGCACACACCTTTAATCCCAGCACTTGGGCGGCAGAGGCAGGTGGATCTCTGTGAGTTCGAGGACAGCCTGGTCTACAGAGCGAGATCCAGGACAGGCACCAAAACTACACAGAGAAACCCTGTCTCAAAAAACAAACAAAAAACACAACAAAGAAAGACAGGGGCAACCCCACCTGAAAGTATAAATACAGAAACAGAGTGTTGTTCTCAATATTGTTCTTATTTGACAGTTGATGAATATAAACAAAATGTGAATGGATAGTTATTCAACCATGAAATGGAGTATTCCTGTCAGAATGTAAATGAATCTTCAAAAGATTGCACTATTGAAAAAAAATTCACTCACAAAACATTTTATTATTCCATCATATCAAACATAGAACCTTAGATAGATCCATAGAGACAAATAGTAGGTAGGTAGTTGGTTAGGATTAGGGGCAAAGTAGAGGAGCAGAACAGTGGCCAGCCACCAAATGTGCTCTTTGGGATGGGCTGGTGAAAATTGATGGTGGTAATTGTTGCATAGTTTTGCAGATATGAATTGTACACTTTAAACAGGCAAATGACCTTAAATACTTTTATGTTTTATTTTATAGTTTGTCAACATCTAATACACATTGAGAATACATTTTCCTTCTGTTGCTTAATCATTTCAAGATTTACCTAGCTCATTTTTCTTAAAACATATTCTATGTGTATGTGTACATGCTTACATTTGTTTATATATATACTACATAGGCCAGAAAGAAATATTAGATGACCTGGAACTGGGGTTCCATACAGGCAGTTGTGAGCCACCTGATGTGGGTGTTGGCAAACAGAGCAGTAAGCATTCTTAACTTCTGAGCCATCTCTATTATTTAGCTCAATCTCTTTTTTTTTTTTTTGTGGTAGATTATAGGTGCTTTTTTTTTAAAGCTGATTGTTACATCAGTTCCTTCCCATGTACATAAACATGATATTTATGAAGATGAGGATACAGAACCAAAGTTAAATTGTCTTACTATTAGGACATTTAAGAGTAAAGTGGTATGTTGTACTCTAGGTGTTGCTTATTTCACTATGTATATTTCTTATTTTTGTGTCAGATATCTAGGAGCACATACTTAATGTGTCTTAAATCTTCATGGTCTTAACCATGCAATACCATTTTGCTATAAATGTTTTCAGGTCAAGTATTTAAAAAGAAAATATTAGGCAAAATGTGTCCTTCAAGAGTCATCTCTAGGTTCTTTCCTCTCTTAAATTGAACTTCCTTGCTCTTACATGAGATGTCTGAACCAACAATTTTCGTCTTTTTCCTTAACTAACATAAGATGTATTCATTGAACTTGTAGAAGACATGAGTTTGGTTCCCAGCATCCACAATTGGGCTGTTTACAGTGCCTATAACTCCATCACTAGAAGATCTGATGCTCTGTTTTGGCCTCCATGGGCAATGTCCTCAGATGTGTGCATATGTGTTTGTGATCATGCATGCGTGCGTATACACACACACACACACACACACACACACACACACACACACACACACACCTTACTTTAAAATGGGGCTGGAGAGATGGCTCAATAGAGTACTGGCTGCTCTTCCAGAGGACCCAGGTTTAATATCTATCACCCCCATGGCACCTCACAACTATCCGTAACCTCTTTCCAGGTGATGCCGCACCCTCTTCTGGCCTTTGTGGGCAATAGACATTGCATGGATGTAAAAAATAAAATTTTAAAATGTGCTCACATAATGTTAAAGTTTATAGAGCATAAGCATGGGCCTGCCATGACTTCAGTGTAGTCAGTTTCCAGCTATGCAAAGCAGATGTGGATGGCATAGGAAGTGGTTGTTTCCAGTAGAGAAGTCTTCAAAACCCCTCTTGAACAGATAAACCTAAAACTTGGGGCATGAGGGAAGGAATGAGAGGGTGAAAACAATGGAAGAATTTTGAAGTAGAAATGGCCTTATTGTCTTCAGTTTAAACTTTTCATAACTTCCCACCTTGTTGTTGTCGTTATTCATCTTCAAGTTTACTGTAGGACCACAGATACTACAGTTCTAATTTGATAACATGATTTATATGACTTCTGGCTTCTTTAATCACTTCTAATATATTAAACAATGAGAAGTAATCTATACTAATACTCGCCCCTTCCCCGTCCTATCACCCTGCACTAGAACTTTCTGAGGAAATAAACTGAAAAGGGAGACTGTTTGCAGGACAACTCCAAAGAGAAGATCCTTTCCTAAAGTGTTTGGTCACAGTTGTTAACAGGTAGCAGCATATGATCTGGGGAAGGAGTGGTGCCTGATAACAACTCTGATAACAAATGTTTCCTTCTCAATTTTTCCCTAGTACCATCTAGACTGTCACAGCCATCCTCTCCCCAGTCAGGCTGCCCATCACCTACCATTCCAGCAAGTAAAGTCATTTCTCCATCACAGAAGCACAGCAAAAAGGCATTGAAGCAGGTAAGCATTAAGTCTCTGTTTATCAGAAGAATAATCTAATTAAAAATAATTAGGAAAGCTGGGCTGTGGTGGCACATGCCTGTAATCTCAGCATTCAGGAGACAGACAGGTGGATCTCTGTGAGTTTGAGGCCGGCCTGGTCTACCGAATGAGTTCCAGGACAGCCAGGGCTACACAGAAAACCTGTCTAGAAAAAAAAAGCAACGAGTAATTAATAATAATAATAATAATAATAATAGAAAACCTGTCTAGAAAAAAAAAGCAACGAGTAATTAATAATAATAATAATAATAATAATGAGAGCTACATGGTGTTTCACGCCTTTAGTTCTGTTGTGTAAAGGACAATGATGTATCGAGGTCCTTTTTCAAAAAAACACTTCATCAAATCTTCTGTTAATTACTGAAAATTTATTGAAAGCTTTTAGATTCATGTCTTTACAGGGTAAATGTCCGTAATCTGCTAATTTGCTGTTAGTAATTTTTGTACTCTGTATATATCACCCATTGTATGTAGGGTTTAAAATGGTTTTGAAGACCCAGATTTTTTCCTAGTTTGCTAAAGTATGTGTTCTGAATCATGAATAGGTGTTTACATTTTCAGAGCTTTTCTTATGTGTGTCTGGTTGTTTTGGGGGTACTGAGGATGAAACTCATCACTCATTGATCAAATACTTCTCACACTGAGCCACATTCCCGATCCTCAGGTTTGTTTGCTTTGGAGCTTATTGTAATGATCAGGTAGATTTTTTACTTTTAATCTAATATACAGAATCATATTGCTAGATTTCCTAATATTGCACTAATTGTAAGAATGGAATAGAACCTATGTGTTTATTCTTTACATAGCTTGTGCAAATTTTTTTTTTTAATTTTAGTTTTTAAGCCGGCTGTGGTGGCACATGCCTTTAAGAACACTCCAGGGGCAGGCACATCTCTGTGAATTTGAGGCCAGCCTGAAGTACAAAGTGAATTCCAGGACAGCTAGGCCTGTTACACAGAGAGACCCTGTCTCAAAAAAACATAAATAAATAATAACTGAGTTTCTAGTCAGCTGTGTTTTGTAGCACACATCTGTAATCCTATTACATTGGAGGCTGAGGTAGGGAGGGAAGAGCTTGAAACCATCATGGATTGTACAGTAGCAAGACTCTGTCTTGCAGTATTCTTCTATTGTAGTGCAGTTTTGAAATACAGCATAACATAAACTGTGTAGTTGTTTATTTTATTCTAGATTTGGGGAGAAAGTTGTAGAAATTATCTTTACTCCCTAGGTTGAATAAATAGTAAGTAAGAATCATTTTCCTTGAATTATACTGTTCTTTGTTGTTATTACATTAGTCAATTGATTTGTCTCCTTTTGCATCAATTTTGGAGATTTTTCTTAGAAAATGGTCCATTTCTGTGCCAGTAAAGTTGCTCAGCCGGTAAAAGCACTTACCCCCAAATATGAAACCCTGAGTTGATTCCTGGAACCCACATGATGGAAAATAAAACTACCTCCTTGGCATTGTTTCTTACTTCCATATACATGTCCCCCCCAACTCCATAATATAATAAATACATAAATGTATGTTAAAAAAGAAGTAAATGTTTTTACCTGATTTATTGCATGTACTGCTGTAAAGTTATATAATGTTTTGTTTTTCATTTGTCCTTGTTCATTTATTTGTTCCCAGTGTTAATTGCCAGTTGAATTTTCTGTTTTATTGGAATTTTCAAAGAGCTGGCTTTGGATTGCTTTTGTTTCGAGATAACACCTTGCTGTGTTGTTTGGATTGGCTCAATATGTATTCCAAGCTGTTCCCCACCCCCCCTTTTTTTCTTTATTTTTCTTTCTTGAAGTGCTTTGTCTGGTAGCATAGTCACATAATCCCAGTACTCAGGAGGCTGAAGCAGGAGGGTTCTAATTTCAAGGCAGCCTGGGATATATAGCAGCTTCTTCCAAGAAGAATCAATAAATACAAACTGACAAGTAATTAGGAAAACATTAAATAACTTAATTTTAGTTTCATAATTTGCTATGAACTAAGAGATTGTATTATATCGAGAATTGACAAGTAAGGTGACAATGGTTACTCATATACTGATGCAGTATAGTAAAAAACAATCATTAAATAGAAATGATTGAATATAGGACCTTGTGCGTGCTAGGCAAGTACTCTGTCCGTGAGCTATATACCCAGCCACTATAGCTCTATTGGAGAAAATTTTATACCTATTAAATTTTAAATGTACATGCTTCATGAACATGTGATTAAACAGTTTAGTGCTTATGTTAAGAAAGATACACAGAAAAATATTGGCATAAAAATTTATTAATAGTAAGAAATAGCAAACGGCCTAACTTTTACATAAATTTTATCATATAATTTGTATATATTGCATATATTTGTTACTCATATATGTCTAAGATAAATCTTTTCGGGGACTGTATAAACATTTGTGAAAGATGGACAGTCGTAGAGGGTTAGAAGCTTATGCTGTAAAAGGTTGTGCTATGCAGTTAAGAGATGAAGAAATAACCAAAAATATACTGCTCTCACAGAACACCCAGTTTTGGTTCCCAGAAACTGCACTGGCTGACAATTGCTTGTCATTTTAGCTCCAGGGAAGTCATAGTTCTCTTCTGATCTTAATAGGTGCTGTAGTCATGTGCACAAATGCATACATTACCTATAACTAAAAACAAAAATAAAGGGCTTGAAGATATGGCTCATTGATTAAGAGTGCTTTTTCTTCTCACAGAAGACCTAGGTTTCCAACACCTACATCAGATCACTTACAGTTTAGCTCCAATTCCAGGGGTCTGATTCCTTTTTGCCTCTACAGACACCTGCACACACATAGCATATACTTAAGATACACATATAAAATTAAATAATTAAATCTTAAAATGTTTTAGGGTCTAGAGAGATGGCTCAAGGGTTAAAAGCACTGGCTGATCTTTGTTGAAAGCCAGTAGAATATATCAAAGATGGGGGCAGAATATAAGGACTTGAAGGATACAGTTAAGCGGTTGGAACATCCAGGCACTGGCAAGGATAAGTTAATAAGAAACTAGGGGTAGAGTAGCTAGAGTTTTCCTGCCTGGCCCACAATCAGGGCAAATCTCTCTCACCTGCTAGTCCCACAGCCGTCAGACCCGACCAAGTAAACACAGAGACTTATATTGGTTTCAAACTGTATGGCCATGGCAGGCTTCTTGCTAACTGTTCTTACAGCTTAAATTAATCCATTTCCATTAATCTATACCTTGCCACATGGCTCGTGGCTTACCGGCATCTTCACATGCTGTTTGTCATCGTGGCGGCTGGCAGTGTCTCTCTCTGACTCAGCCTTCCACTTCCCAGCTTTATTCTCCTCCTTGTCCCGCCTACACTTCCTGCCTAGCCAATGGCCAATCAGTGTTTTATTTATTGACTAATCAGCAACACATTTGCCATACAGAACATCCCACAGCAGCATTCAAGATGATTGTAACTCTCTGAAAGCAGAGAATCAATGAACTGTGTATAGAAGAAATTCATGATAAAGGCATAAAAAATATCTCCAGGAAAATCATAATATAAAATAATCTGTGCAAAGAGATATCCACTCAGATACAGGCAGCATTTAGAACAGTAAACAAAGGAGAACCTGCCCATATCATTAACTGTCAAAACATTAAATATACAGAACAAAGAAAGTGTCTTGAAAGCTGCAGGGAAAAACATCAGTTTGCCTGAAAGAGTAAATCCATCAATATTACTCCAATACTAAAAACAGACACAGAAAAACATACATGCACACGCAGAAGGATGTGTGGGTAGGTGGGGGTGTTATTTAGACAGTCTTCCTGGTGAACATACATACAAACATTTTCAATAAAATACTTGCAGGCCGTATTCAAGAACATAGCAAGGGTTGTAGATGTAACTCACTTGGCAGAGTGCTTACCTAATATACATGAAGCCTGGTATTGCATCCCGTAAAACTTAAAACTGCAAGACGGTGGCACACACCTGTAATCCCCGCACATAGGACATGAAGGTAGGAGAAGCAGTTCAGTCGCCCTCAGGCTTATAGCCAGCTTATTATACATAAGACTGTGTGACTGTGAAAATTTGTGTAAAACATCAGCTACAGGGTTGCTTCATAATACACAAATTAACAAGTCTAATACATCATATAAATGCACCCTAGTATAGAAATTAAGCATCCCAATGTATATAGAAAGGACTTCTGACAAAATTTGACATTTGTTCCATAGTGTTGAATTCACGAAGCTCTGAATGGAAGGAAAGTGCCTCCACATAATAATGGTTATATACTATAAATATACTCTAGTATTATACAAAGTGTGAAAAAATTCAAAATATTTCCACTAAACTCAGATACAAGTATGTCTACCCTCTCTACCTTTAATTAGTATAGTACTTAAACTCTCTTTTAAAACAGCAATAAAATGTAAAATCTGTAAAAACCTTAAAACCAGTAAACATCTTGAAACATGTAAGAAAGAGCTGGACGTTGGTGGTGCCTGCCTTTAATCCTAGCACTGGGAGGCAGAGGCAGATGGATCTCTGTAAGTGAATTCCAGGATAGCCTCCAAAGCTACACAGAGAAACTGTCTTGTGGAAAAAAAAAAAAAGAAAGAAAATTAAGACTTCAACATCTAAAAAAGGAATTGAAGATGCTAGAAAATGGATAGATATCTATTGTGAATGATGGTGCTACCAGATGAAATAAATATATATGTTCAGTATAAGTTTGGTACAGTCTCCACAAAAATTTCATGTGCCTTCTTACAGAACTAGAAAACAATTTTAAAATTCATATGGAGACATAAAGACCTGAATATGAAGAGCCAAAGCAATTCTAGGCGATAAGAATGCTGGGAGCATTACTGTACTTGATTTCAAGTTGTACTACAGAGCCATTGTAACAAAACCATGACACTGACATACACACAGATCAATGCAACTGAATAGAGGACATGCAATGTAAATCCACAGCGGAGAAGAGGCAACCTCTTAACAGATGATTCTGGGCAAACTACTTATCCATGTGTAGAAGAACAAAATTAGATCCCTTTCGGAAATACTAACTCCCAATGGATGGAAAGACCCTAATATAAAACCTGAAACATTTAGAACAAGGAGAAACAATTCCAGGGCATATGCAAGGACTTTCTGAAATCAGTAGAGGTTTCTCAAAAGATTTAAATTGGGAGGCTAGAACGATGATTCAGCAGTTAGGAATACTGGCTACTCTTGCAGAGGACTGAGATTTGATCCCCTGAACCCAAACTGGCTAACCACTGCTTGTCAGTCCAGTTCCAGAGGGATCTAATGCACTCTCTGGCCTCCACAGACACAAGTACACAGACACATGCAGACCAAACACCCATACACATAGAATAAAAATAAACCTATAACCCAGCTAAGTAGCTTGGTATCAGTTCTGTGACACCCTCTCCCCCAGGGGGAAAAAAGCGCTGTCTAAACAGCTTAAGGGAGGAACAGTTTATTCATAAGAGGTCTGCCTTGATGTCAAAGACATGAGGCAGCTGCTCTCACCTACGTTGTGGAGGGTCTTCTCAAATTAGTGAACCCAGTCTAGAAATCCTCACGGACTTGTCCCACATTTGTCTCCTAGAGGAGACTAGATGCTGTCACCTTGACGGTGTTAATGTCACAGATCCTTGAGTATTTAGCCCGAGGACTCTGGCAGGAACACCTGCATCCAGTGTTGATTGCAGCCGCATTCCCAATAATGAAGTTGTGGAATCCACCCAGGTGTCCCAGCTGGATAAACAGTGTATATACAATGTCATTTGTTTTTGGCCATACAAAGAACAAACTTAAAGCATTTGCAGAAACATGGATATTAAATAAATGGATTAATCTAGTCCATGAAAAGCAAATACTAGTTTTTCTCTCATTTTTTGGTGCTTAGGCTGTATATAGACATATATATAATACCAAGGTTATACATATAACATGTAAACAGACACAAAACTGTCCAGGGTACTAAGAAAAGATATGGAGTAAAATACACTTTATCTACAGTACATACTTACATGAAAATATCCTTAGCTGTATAATGCCTATACATGATAAAAAATACTTTTAAATCCTAAGGGCCAATGAGATAAATCACTGGATAGAGATACTGCCAAGCCCAGTGACCTGAGTTTTGTCCTTTGGACCCACATGATGAAGAACACCAACTCCAGCAAGTTAGCCTCTGACTGCTACACTCATGCCCCTGTGCATATTCTTAGAGAAGTTTTACTACAGTATGTAGATAATAGTGCTGTTCACAAAATGCACAAAAGTAGTGCTATATTTAGTAGAAGTGTGTATGATGAAGTTTAATAAGTAAAAATAAATTGACCAGTGTAGTTGGATTGCACATTAAAACTTAAGTGATAGTCAAAAAAGAATTTGGCTTTGAATTTAAATTAACAATTTTTAAAATGTATTTTTTGTTTTTTCTGAAGGATTAGAACTCATAATTTTAATTTTTTGAGATTGACTTGTTATTGTATCGTGTTGGCTGCCCTGAAACTCAAAGATTTTGAGTTTCTGCCTCCGCCTCCTGAAAACTATGATTAAAGATGTGGGCCACCATTCCTGGCCCAGAGTCCACAAACATTTTAAAAAATGTGAATTTCAAAGTATTTAAAAGTTGTTTTATTGAAAGTTGTTTGTAGGACAGACATAGTGTCACACACAGAGCCGCTATGTTGGTGTTGGGAACTGAACCTGCATCCTCTGCAAGAATCATCTCCTCCGCCCTTTTTATCCGTGTGTGCGTGCGTGCGTGCGTGTGTGTGTGTGTGTGTGTGTGTGTGTGTGTGTGTGTGTGTGTGTGTCTTTGCACACACATGTATCCACATGGGGGTCAGAGAACAACTTTTGGGAATCACTTCTCTTCTTCCACGGTACGGGTCCTAGGGATCCACCTCTGACCCACTGAGCCATCTCCCAGACCCTCTTTCTTTTTAAATGGTCACTCTAAATAATATCGTGTTAACTCTGTTAATTAAGAACCTCTTAGAGCCGGGCGGTGGTGGCGCACGCCTTTAATCCCAGCACGCGGGAGGCAGAGCCAGGCGGATCTCTGTGAGTTCGAGGCCAGCCTGGGCTACCAAGTGAGTTCCAGGAAAGGCGCAAAGCTACACAGAGAAACCCTGTCTCGAAAAACCAAAAAAAAGAACCTCTTAGAAATAAAAATGAGCTAAAATGGCCAGAAGGAACTAACTGCTGTTGTTAGAACTTACACTGCTGTGTCCTTTGCTCTCTGTTTATTTCATTGCTGTAAGTAACTAAGACTTTATCATTTGGGCAAGTCTCTTCACTCTTACTCAAGGTAATACAAATACTTATTAAACTGTAACACCTGTGAAGCATAAATAATACAGACAATTGCTCTTTTCCATAGAATCAATGCTTAGAGTTCTGTTTTCAGAAATGATAAAAGTGTGTAATTCTCAATTAGAAGATTGTAAATCCCTTGCCTTGCTGCTGATTTTTAAGTTCTGAAGAAAATCTAATGATTTTTCCTTACAGCTGTACGTAATGGAATAATCTTGTCCTCCCAAAGTACCCAAATTCCATAGGTCCTATAGGCTTGTGTCAGTTTTGTTAAATTTAGGCTTTTGTTTGTGTTGAATAGATGTCAGAGTAGTTCTTGCCATAAGAGATGTCCCTCACTGAAAACCAGCTTGTTTCTTACTACCAGTTTTTCTTTATAGGCCCTGAAGCAACAACAGCAGAAGAAGCAGCAGCAGCAGCAGCAGCAGCAGCAGCAGCAGCAGCAATGCAGGCCAAGCATGTCCATCTCCAATCAACACCTCTCTATCAAGACTGTCAAAGCAGCTGGGGACCCTCTCCCTGCCAAACCTGGTAGGCAGTTGACTCGTCTTCTCTCCCCAGTGGAAGTGTCTTTTTACCAGCATATTTGTGCTTTTGATGTTGTCAATTTTTATACTGTATTGTTTATTTTTAAATTGCTATTTTACTAGCATAATCTTTCTGCTGCCACAAAACTGATATAAATCTTAGGATAGAACTGGATGGTGGTGGCACACACCTTTAATCCCAGCACTGAGAGGCAGAGGCAAGCAGATTTATGACTTCAAGGCCAGCCTAGTCTACAGAACTAGCTCTAGGATAGCCAAGGCTACACAGAGAAACCCAGTCTCAAAAAACAACAACAACAACAAAAAAAAAACACACCCCAAAAATTCTAAGATAAATAGGAAATATTTTCATATAAAATTATTGTATACTTGATTAAAAGTGCAAGAGTGAGATTTGGAAGCCTATATTCATTAACCTTATAAATCTGTTGTTTCCAAGGTCAAGGTGAACTCTGTCTCTGTGTGTATATGTAGGCAGGTACGTGTGTGTACATGCTTGTTGAGGTCAGAGGATAGCCTCATGTCATTTACCTGTACCATCTATCTTCTGGTGGTCTCGTTTTTTGTATCATTTTGGACAGGGTCTCTCGCTGACCTGGGACTTGTGGTTTAGGCTAAACTGGCTGACCAGCAAACCTCAGGAATCTTCCTGTCTCCACTTCTTGGTGCTGGCATTTCAAGTGTGCTGTGCTTATTTTGGCTCTTTATGTGGTTTCTGAGGATCAAACATAGGTCCTTATGCAAACTTAGGGAACAAGTACTTTTTGGACTTAGCCATTATGCAGCCCTAAAGTGAACTCTTTCCCAATGCCGGCATTTAAAATAATGAAGATGGGTCTGGAGAAATGGCTCAGTCATGAAGAATATGTACTGATCGGATTCCATCTTCTGGTACCTGTGGACAATGGGCATACAGTTGGGGCAATAATATACATGTAGACAACACGCTCGTACACATTAAAAAAAATAAATTTTAAAATAAAAAGCAAAAAATGAAGTATGGGGCTTTCTAAAAATATATACTCTTTAGTTTCCATTGGATATGTTTACATGGACTTTGTGTATTTGTTGTTACTTCTTTGTTTTTTATTTTATTTTGCCACAGACTTTTTTTTTTTTTGAGACAGGGTCTCTGTGTAGCTTTTGCATCTTTCCTGGAACTCACTCTGTAGCCCAGGCTGGCCTTGAACTCAAAGAGATCCACCTGGTTCTGCCTCGCAGACTTTGTTTTGTATTATATAGTTCAATTGAATGCCATAAGCTGATTCTAGGGACTGCCATCAAAGTCAAAGGTCTGAGTCTTACAGATCTTTTCATTCTTTTTAATATTTGCCATCGGAGATAATAATGTAAGAGGAGATGTAAGGGATTTTATTTTACAAAGTATTCAAGAAGCCTACATTTCTTCATTTATAACTTCTGTAGTTACCATGGAATAATGGTTTGACTTGAATAATGGTTTGATATTTTTTAAATTTAATTTATTTATTTAAAAGGTTTTCTGTTCACTTTATATACCAACCACAGATCTCCCTCTTCTCCCTCTTCCCACACCCCAACCTTTTCCTCCAACCTACCCCCCAGTCTCACCTCTTCCAAGGCAAGGTCTCTCATAGGGAGTTAGCAGAGCCTGGTACATTCAGTTGAGTCAGGACCAAGACCCACATCCCTGCATCAAGGCAGCATTAAGTGTTCCACCATAGGCACTGGACTCCATAAAACCAGCTCATGTACCAGGGACAGATCCCAATCCCATTGCCTGGGGGGCCCCCTAAAGAGTTCAAGCTAAACAACTGTCTCATGTGTCCCTTGGTCCTAATCCAGTGCCATGGGGGTTCTATAGCTTTTGGTCCACAGTTTATGCGTGTCCACTGGTTTGGTTGGCCATCTCTGTATATTTTCCCATTATCATCTCGATGCCCCTTGCTCATAGAATCTCTCCTCTCTTTCATCGATTGGGCTTCTGGAGCTTATCCTGGTGCCCAGTGGTGGATCTCTGCATCTATTTTCATCAGTCTCTAGATTAGGGCTCTATGATGACAGTTAGGTATTCATCCATGCAATCACCAGAGTAGGCCAGTTCAGGCACCCTCTAGAGTATTGTCGGTAGTCTAAGGTGGGATCATCTTTGTGGATTCCTGGGAACTTCCCTAGCACTTTGTTTCTGCATATTCCTATGATGTCTTCATTTGTCATGATCTCTATTTCCTTATTCTCCCACTTGGTTTCTGTTCCAGTTCAACCCTCCCGTTCCCCTATGTTCTCGTCCCCCATCCCTTGCCCTCCATTACCCCTTCTCGCCCCCAGTTTGCCCATGTAGATCTCATCTATTTCTCCTTCGCTGGGTGATCATGCGTCCCTCGTAGGGTCCTCCCTGCTGGGTAGTCTCACTGGAGCTGTGAGTTGCAGTCTGATTGTCCTTTGCTTTACATCCACTTATGAGTGAGTACATACCATGTTTGTCTTTCTGAGTCTGGGTTACCTCACTCAGGATGATATTTTCTAGTTCTATCCGTTTGCCTGCAAATTTCATGCTGTCATTGTTTTTCTCTGCTGAGTAGTACTCCATTGTGTATATGTACCACATTTTCTTAATCCATTCTTCAGTTGGCAGGCATCAAGATTGTTTCCAGATTCTGGCTGTTAGGAATAATGCTATGAACATAGTTGAGCATGTATTCTTGTGATATGATTGAGCATTCCTTGGGTATATGCCCAAGAGTGGTATAGCTGGGTCTTGAGGTAGATCGATTCCCAATTTTCTGAGAAAACTGCCATAGCCATACTGATTTCCAAAGTGGCTGTATGTACAGCTTTGCACTCCCACCAACAGTGGAGGAGTGTTCCCCTTGCTCTGCATCCTCTCCAACATAGACTGTCATTCATGTTTTTGATCATAGCCATTCTGACAGGTGTAAGATGGTATCTCAGAGTCGTTTTTATTTTGCATTTCCCTGATGACTAAGGGTGTTGACCAATTCCTTAAATGTCTTTCAGCCATTTGAGATTCTTCTTTTGAGAATTCTGTTTAGCTCTTTAGCCCTTTTTTAAATTGGATTGTTCAGTATTTTGATGTCTAGTTTCTTGAGTTCTTTATATAGTTTGGAGATCAGCCTTTTGTCAGATGTGAGGTTGGTGAAGGTCTTTTCCCATTCTGTAGACTGTCTTTTTGTCTTATTGACAGTGTCTTTTGCCCTACAAAAGCTTCTCAGGCCGGGCGGTGGTGGCGCACGCCTTTAATCCCAGCACTCGGGAGGCAGAGCCAGGTGGATCTCTGTGAGTTCGAGGCCAGTCTGGGCTACCGAGTGAGTTCCAGGAGAGGCGCAAAGCTACACAGAGAAACCCTGTCTCGAAAAACCAAAAAAAAAAAAAAAAAAAAAAAAGCTTCTCAGTTTCAAGAGGTCCCATTTATTAGTTGTTGTTCTTAGTGTCTGTGCTACTGGTGTTATATTTAGGAAGTGGCCTCCTGTGCCAATGCGTTCAAGAGTACTTCCTACTTTCTCTTCTATCAAGTTCAGTGTAACTGGATTTAATGTTGAGGTCTTTGATCCCCTTGGACTTGAGTTTTATGCTTGGTGATAGATATGGATCTATTTGCAATCTTCTACATGTTGACATCCAGTTATGCCAGCACCATTTGTAGGAGATACTTTCGTTTTCCCATTGTATCGTTTTGGCTTCTTTGTCAAAAATCAGGTGTTCGTATGTGTGTGGATTAATGTCAGGGTCTTCAATTTGATTCCGTTGGTCTGTATGTCGGTTTTTATGCTAGTACCAAGCTGTTTTTATTACTATAGCTCTATAGTAGAGCTTAAAGTCAGGGATGGTGATGCCTCCAAAGGTTGCTTTATTGCACAGGATTCTTTTAGCTATCCTGGGTTTTTTGTCTGTAGAGAACTGTGTTGGGATTTTGATGGGGATTGCATTGAATCTGTAGATTGCTTTTGGTAATATTGCCATTTTTACTATGTTAGTCCTACTTATCCATGAGCATGGGAGATCTTTCTGTTTTTTGATATCTTCTTCAATTTCTTTCTTCAGAGACTTAAAGTTCTTATCATACAGGTCCTTCACTTGCTTAGTTGGTGTTACCCCAAGACATTCTATATTATTTGTGGCTATTGTAAGGGGTGATATTTCTCTGATTTCTTTCTCAGCCTGTTTATCATTTGTATATAGGAGGGCTATTGATTTTTTTTTATCTTGTATCCTGCCACTGAAGGAGTTTATCAGCTGTAGGAGTTCCTAGTAGAATATTTGGGGTCACTTATGTATACTATCATATCGTCTGCAAATAGGGAAAGTTTGACTTCTTCTTTTCCAATTTCTATCCCTTTGATCTCCTTTTGTTGTCTTATTGCTCTAGCTAGAACTTCAAGTACTATATTGAATAAATATGGGGAGAGTGGACAGCCTTGTCTTATTCCTGTTTTTAGTGGAATCGCTTTGGGTTTCTCTCCATTTAATTTGATGTTGGCTGTTGGCTTGCTGTAAATTGCCTTTATTATGATTAGGTATGTTCCTTATATTCCTGATCTCTCCAGAACCTTTATCATGAAGGGGTGTTGGATTTTGTCAAAGGCTTTTTCAGCATCTAATGAGATGATCATGTAGTTTTTTTCTTTCAGTTTGTTTATATGGTGTATTACATTGACAGGTTTTTGTATGTTGAACCATCCTTGCATCCTTGAGATTAAGCCTACTTTGTCATGGTGGATTATTTTTTTGATGTGTTCTTGGATTTGGTTTGCTTGTTAAGTATTTTTGTATCAATATTCATGAGGGAGATTGGTCAGTAATTCTCTTTCTTTGTTGCATCTTTGTTTGGTTTGGGTATCAGGGTAACTGTAGCCTCATAAAAAGAGTTTGATAATGTTCCTTCTGTTTCTATTGTGTGGAACAGTTTGAAGAGTATTGGAATTAGCTCTTCTTTGAAAATCTGATAGAATTCTGCACTGAAACCATCTGGTCCTGGGCTTTTTTTGGTTGGGAGACTTTTTGTTTTTGTTTTTGTTTTTTGTTTTTTTTTCCAAAGATTTATTTATTTATCTATGTATACAGTGTTCTGTTTGTATGTATGTCTGCCCACCAGAAGAGGGCACCAGACCTCATTATAGATGGTTGTGAGCCACCATGTGATTGCTGGGAATTGAACTCGGGACCTCTGGAAGAGCAGTCAGTGCTCTTAACCTCTGAGCCATCTCTCCAGCCCGGTTGGGAGACTTTTAATGACCGTTTCTATTTCCCAAGAATCTCTTTTCTTCCAACACAAATCTCTCCCTCGTGGCAGCTATCTGTGGGCTGGGAAGGAGTAGGGAGATTGGGAAGAGTGAAGAATTTTCCAGGCTGAGGTGAGGCACCAGCATGTAGCTAAGTTGCTGGAGACCAAACTCCACCCTTCTGCCTGTAACAAGTCTTCTTTCTGGTTCACTGGCGGCTTTGCCTTCCCTTCAATACCGCTACTCACTCTCTTCTTCTCCCTTCTGTATGACTTAGATTGACTTCCATGCATTGTAGACTGTGACTTGTGGTTTCCAGGGGGCATGGTTTCATGTTTTTATTTTACTCTCTTTTAATTATTAGATTTATTGGGGTCGGGGGAGGAGCTGCATGCAAGTCTGGGGCTGACTTGAGGGAGTCACTTTTCTCCTACCATGAGATAGATAAGGCAGGCTGTCAGGGTTGGTAGAGCTGTCTTGTAGTTCCTTATGGTTTGTTTCCAATCTCAGTGTACCTATCTTCCCGTGTTTTCCCCCCAGCCCCGTGGGAAGGAAAGCAGTCTGATGGACAGTCCAGCAGTCCCCAGAGCTCACACTCCACTTTCTCCTCCACAGTGAGAGTGGACAACTCTCTTCTAGCCTTGGGGAAGAAGTCTTTCCAGAGGTCGGACAGACTCCACACAAGTAAGTTAGTTTACAAAGGCTTCAGTTTTTAGTGCCATGATATGTCCAAAGTATGCTTAAAATTCATCAGCCACTAGCTTGAGTTTAATGTGTAATTTGAATTTTATTTTTAAAAGCTAGACATAATTTCTATTATTTTCTTTTTTCTTTTCTTTTTTTTTTTTTTTTTTTTTGTTCGTTTGGCTTTTTTTTTTTTTTTAAAAACAGGGTATCAGTATATAGCTCTGGCTGTCCTAGAACTCACTATGTAAACCAGGCTGGCCTCGAACTCACAGAGATCCACTGGCCTCTGCCTCCCAAAGTGCTGGGACTAAAGGTGTGTGCCACTATGCCTGGCTAGACTTTTTGCTGACATTATTTGAATCTTTAAAACAATGTTTTTGATATAATTATTTTGAGTTTTTATTTTGTTTTGCCTGTTTGTTTCTTAGTGGACATTAATAACCACAGACTTGAATGTGCCAGAGAATTGCTCCCCAAGTGAGCTGTACATCCCTAATCCCCAGCGAGTCATCATTATCTGTTGTCTTTTTTTTTTAAATGACAGGGTCTCACCAATATAATCTTAAGATACTCTGGAACTGACCTTCAACTTGTAATCTCCCTGCTTCAGTCTCACAAGTGATGCTATAAGAAAACCCCACCCTTTTTATTCTTTTTTTTTTTTTGTCTTTGAATTTTTTATTGTCTTTTTGATCTTATATTCATCCCTTATCAAACTGGTTCACAGAAGGATCTGTTATTGGTCATTCTGTGGTTTATTTCTCTTTTACCAATAGACCCTACCTCGTTTTTTGTTCTCTAGAGATAAAAAGATAGAAGGGCTTATAATTAAATATTGTAAACTGAACTCCCTTGGAAATCCCACTAAAATGAGAATATGGACAAAAAAGATTTAATCAGTATGAGTGAAGAAAACAGACAGCCAAATGGGCAGGTGTCAACAAAGGTTGAAAGATAAAAATTGGATGAAGTTGAAAAGGAATTGTCCTAATAAACCAGCTATGGCTGCAAACCACAAGAACTGGAAAGATAGATACCAGAAAGGTGAGGCATAGGGCTGAATAGAAGACTGTTGTTTGAAATGAAGGAGAAGCGTTTGGATGCTTTACTCTACGTAGAAAAGTTAAATAGGTGGTGAAATTGAGTGAAACTCCAGCAGCTGGAGGACCATCACATAGAGCTGCAGGCCAGGGATGAAGCCCTGTGTTGTTTGTTTGTTTGTTTCCAGAACAAAGGACGTGACAGGAGCTACTAGAGGAAGCTGAGGTTTAGTTGGGGTCACAGTCCAGAGGGAGCAAGTAGGAAATGCACAGCAGTTGTGCTGGTTCTTGCCTGCCACAGTAGCAACAGGCTGGTCCTGTCTCTTGCTTGTGGTTGAGCAGGGCCAGACAGTACCTCCAAGGTCTCTCCTAATAATCCTTCTCTGTCTTCTATGCCCTCCTCCCCAGACAGTGCTACTAGCTGGAGACCAGGGAGGCAGGAGCTTGTCAGGGCAGTTTCACATTCATGTCCTCATAGGCACTATTCGGAAATTCGGGGAATTTCGTCAAATTCAATGACCGAATTGTGATTCTCCTGCTTGGCTTCCAGAACAGAACACTTAGTAGAGCACATGTCAACCACCACTCCGTCCTGCTGCCGTGTCCCAGAAGATCAGCTGATCAGTAGCTAAAGAAATAGGAAAGCTCAGAAGATAACTGTGCAGGCACATTACAGGTTCCCGGATCTTTTGAAACTGTTTTAACTGGACTCTAATCCTATGCCTTAGCAGCTAAGGTAGAAATGTTCCACTGTGTTACACACACAATGACATCCTTCAAAGTGTCTTTTCTCCAGCCCTCCCTCTCCTCTTTGATGAGCTTTACCTCTTGGGTGCTATTTACTATTGTTTGGTTTGAAAAGATGTTTTTAGTTTTGTTTTACTGTAATTTATTTCTTTGAGAAAGTATTTTGCAGTTATTCTTTTTCCATATTTATAGGGTTTTTTTGTTAGGAACTTTTAGCTGAAGTATATTTTGGCCAAGGGTCATAGGCCACATGTGATACCTGTACCTGTGTGGTGTAGTGATCAGCAACAGACTAAAGCCGGTTTCTGACTTCAGTTTGTTACATTGTAACTCAATGGTGTAATTTGAGCACCTCTCTTTCTCTCTTCGCCCCTTCCTTCCTTCCTTCCTTCCTTCCTTCCTTCCTTCCTTCCTTCCTTCCTTCCTCTTTCTCTCTCTCTCTTTTTTTTCTTACTTTGGTTTTTTGAGACAGGGTTTCTCTGTACCACCCTGGCCATCCTGGAATTTGATCTGTACTCCAGGCTAGCCTTGAACCCATGGAGATGTGGAGATGGGGTATGTTTCTTTATCTGTGCAGTGGATAATAATTACCCAGCTCTCTGTGCACAGCAGTATGTGCCTGTGATCACAGCTGTGCAGAAGTTTGAAGCCAACCTAGGTAAAGTAGTCAGATGTCGTCTCAAAATGAATCAATGATAATAGTAACCTGTAGCTAGTGTTTTCCTGCCTGGCCCACAGTCAGGATAAATTTCTGACACCCGCCAGTCCCACAGTCATTCAGACCCGACCAAGTAAACACAGAGACTTATATTGGTTACAAACTGTATGGCCGTGCCAGGCTTCTTGCTAACTGTTCTTACAGCTTAAATTAATCCATTTCCATTAATCTATACCTTGCCACATGGCTCGTGGATTACCGGTACTTTACATCTTCCTTATCCTGATGGAGGCTGGCAGTGTCTCCCCCACCCAGCTTCCTGTTCTCTCAATTTTCCTCTCTGTTAGTCCTGCCTATACTTCCTGCCTGGCCACTGCCAATCAGTGATTTATTCATTGACCAATCAGCAACACATTTGACATACAGACCATCCCACAGCAGTAACCATTACTTGCTTCATGGAGCTGTGTGAAAAGTCATCAAGTTAATATAAATAAATGCTCAGAAAAGTGCCTGGCACCTAGTAACTCTTAATAAGTTTGCCACTGCCGTTACTGTGGTAATTATTTTATTATTGGCATTTATACTTGAAACATACAGAGAAGTGCTCTTTTAGGCTTAACAATATTCAAGTCCTACTCGTTCAGTGAATTCCGAGTTTGTTGAATCAAGGTTATTAATCTAAAATAATGAATGAATCCTGTGACTGGAATGAAGGTTCAAGAGCCTGTACTTCCTTTTCACAGTTTGGTTCCCAACTCATCTCACAGTTCTCACACCACTCCAGCTCCCAGGTCTTTTTCAAGACAGAGTTTCTCAGTATAGCACTGGCTGTCCTGGAACTCGCTTTATAGACCAGGCTGTCCTCGAACTCACAGAGATCTGCCTGCCACTGCCTCCTGAGTTCTGGGATTAAAGATATGTACCACCACTATGAAGCAGTGCAACCTTTTTAAATGTCTGGTTTTGATATGTTTGGTTAATTGTGCAAGATACACTAAAATCTGTTCTGTATGGGGATTTGTCTAGTTGGGACAGTCTATCTCAAATCAACACATTGTTTGTTAAGAGAAGGTCTTCACATGTGTCTTCGGCTAGCTTGGAGCTTGTGATCCTGCTCCCTCAGCATTCCAAATGATGGGATTGTAGATAAGGGCCACTGTGCTCTGCCTTTCAAACAGTTAAAGCTATTTTGTATGAGATGGTTTCTTGTTTAATGTAATTGTTGGCCAGTTACATTCAGCATTACATTCAGCCTGAATTATATTCCAGGCATGTCCTGGTGTATAGCAAGATCCCATCCACAAAAGTGAAGTAAGATCTTCCTGATTTACTTTATCAATTATTGAGAAAGGTAATGATGAACAGTTTACTTTTAGAGATCTATTTTGTAGATTGTGGGTTTTTTTTTTTTTTTTTTTTTTTTTTTGTTTTTCGAGACAGGGTTTCTCTGTGTAGCTTTGCACCTCTCCTGGAACTCACTTGGTAGCCCAGGCTGGCCTCGAACTCACAGAGATCCGCCTGGCTCTGCCTCCCGAGTGCTGGGATTAAAGGCGTGCGCCACCACCGCCTGGCGATTGTGGGGTTTTTTTTAAATTCTCTGTAAATGATCAGAATTTATTTTCTTTGCCTGAGAAGACATTTCTAAGATCTTTAACTCTCACCTCTTCGGAGTGTAGTGTTTAATTTTTGGTTGTTCTTTCTTTGTTACTTTAGGTACTGCATGGCAAGCTATGGTTAGGACCAATACTGTGAAAGGAGAGCCAGGTGATGAATAACTGTCTTCTTCATTTTGTAGGACAGATGAAAAGGACTAAGTGTGCTGACATTGATGTTGAGACACCCGACTCCATTCTGGTTAATACTAATCTTCGAGCACTGATTAACAAGCACACCTTTTCAGTTCTTCCTGGAGATTGCCAGCAGCGCCTGCTTTTACTGCTTCCAGAGGTGGATCGGCAGGTGCGTGATGGCAGGCATAAGCGATTTTCTGACTAAATGAGGCTCCGACAGTCATCACCCTTTAAAACTCCCTAAGGTTTTGTTGTTCTTAAGATAGTATCTCATGTATTATAGGCAGGACATAAACTTACTATGTAGCTGATGATGTCTTAACTCTTCCGTTTACTTCCTGAAGGTTGGGGTTACAGATACACGTCACCATGTCAAGTATACGTATAACAGTGTTGCTAGAGATAAAATCCAGGGCTTCATGTATGCTAGGCAAACACTCAGCTGAGTTACATGTCTAGTTCTTAAGATTTTTAAAGTATCTTCTTATTCCTATAAAAGTGTGGTATTAATGGTGGTGCTGTGTGACTTTCCATGGAAAGCTATGGACAGATATACCAGATAAGGTACCACCAGTCAACAAAAGAAAAACCAAAACAAACAAACAAAAACACAATAGGAAAGGAAGGCATTTTCCCTAGTATGTAAGAACAGACTACCGTTCCTCGTTTATAGGGAGAGATTCAAAAGGTAAGCTACACAAATCATTATAGCTAATATAATTTTGACTACAAAGACAAAATGAAGTCTTTCTTGTTTTGATATTTTTATTTATTTATTTATTTATTTGCTTTGAGACAGGGTTTCTCTGTATAGCCCTGGCTGTCCTGGAACTTGCTCTGTAGATCAAGCTGGCCTTGAGCTCACAGAGATCCTCTACCTCCCGAGTGCTGGGTTAAAGGTGTGCTCGAAGGCTGTTTTCTCTGAAGTTTGCTTTGCTCCCAGCGTCTCAGTGCTGTCATCAGTGTGGGTGATGAGTTCTCCGGGGGACTCAGATAATTAGGTACTCTCCCGGCAATAGAGACTGAAGGAGGGCTCTTCCTAGTGACTGCGTTCTCTGCCCTATCTCTTCCAAGAAGAAAAATGTTACCTTAGAGGGCACTCGTGCACTTAATTCTTGATAGAAGAAATGAGGAGATTGAAGTTTAGCATGATTTTTAAAGCACCTGCTTGACTTCAGAGCTGCTCTCTTGTGTATGTGTTGTTCCATCCCTCAGTCCCTCAAGTAGAAGTGTCAGTAGGGTGATAGGCTAGAAAAAATACACGAAGCATAACTAGCCTCTTTGTGGAAGTCTGATGCTGTTTTCTCAGAAGCACTGATAATCCTTTCTGCCTTCTGATAGAAGATTGCCACAAGTAGTTTGTTACTGTTATGTGGTGGTGGTGTTAAAAATGTTTTTTTAAATGTTATTTGTATGAGAGTTCTGCATGCATTTAATGTGTATGTGCAGTGCATGTGTGCCGGATGCCTGAGGTGGCCAGAGGAGGACCCTAGATCCCCTGGAACTATAATTATGATGGTTATAATTATGATGCCATGTAAGTGCTGGGAACCAAATCTGTGGCTTCTGCAAGAGCAAAAAGTGCTCTTAACCACTAGCCATCTCTGTCTGTCTCCTGCCATGTGTAGTTTTAATAATAGTTTTCTAGTTCAAATTCCCACAGATGGCAATCCTACAGGGATTCTTGTTTGTTTGTGTGTTTGTGTGTTTTTTCCATAGGAAGCTAGTTGGCCAGTCTTTGAGCTATGGATATGTGACGAGCAATGTGAGTGATATTGAGAAGACACAGTTTTAATTAAGTGAACTTGCAGCTTAAGTTACCAATGTGTTCAATGTGGATAATGTTGATGTTGAAAATAATTGTAAACAAAGTTATTTTTTTGCTTTTTGTTTGTTTCTTTATTTTCAAGACCGAGTTTCTCTGTGTAGCTTTGGAGCCTCTCTTGGAACTAATTCTGTAGACCAGGCTGGCTTGAACTCAGAGATCTGCCTGCCTCTGCCTCCCAAGTGCTGAGATTAAAGTTGTGCGCCGCCAGGCTTAAACAAAGTATTTTTGTACATGCTTTGAGTGGCACTTTTTCCCATAGTATTTTAAATAAGAGTTAAATGTTACTTAAAAAACAAGATAGAAAATTCAGAGTTTAGAGTATTAATTTAAAAATTTTTTTTCCATTTAAAAATTTTCCCATGGCCTGTGGTTTAGTGGGTAAAAGGATTTGTAGTCAAGTCTGACAACCTGAGTTCAACTCCCGGACTGAGCGTGGTGAGAACAAGAATTTAAGCCTTGTGGCAAAGCATCAGAAATGAGCTCAGTGGACATACGGGGGGAATACAGCATCGGTGACAATGTATTATATGTGAACATGTCTCACAGTTTGACAACAATAAACAGCCTAATAGAAAACTAAGAAAATGATGGGAACTGACTCTTCACAAGACCACCACAGACATCCATGTTTAATAACCATGCAGTAACAGCAAACAACACAGGAGTCAGGAAATCATCTACCATTTCAAACCTATGAGGTTGTTAAAAATTAAATTACATGTTGATGCATGTTGGCAAAAAAAAAAAGCATATTATATGTTCTTCTATTGTTTGTAACTTTAGCCTTTAGAAAGTAGTATAACAATATCTGCTTACATACTAATCCTATTTTGATCTAGGAATGCAGTCCTTAGAAATAAAATCACAGCTGGGTGTGGTGGTGCATGCCTTTAATCCCAGCACTCAGGAGTCAGAGGCAGATGGATCTTTAATGAGTTTGGGGACATCTTGACTGTTACACAGAGAAACCCTGTCTTTAAAAAAAAGAAGAAGAAAAGAAAATCACTAGTATAGCTAGACAAGGTGGCATACTCCTTTAATTCCAGCCCCTAGGAGGCAGACCTCTGAGTTCAAGGCCAGCCTGGGCTACATAGCAATACCCTGTTTCAAACAAAGTAATAAAACAATAAAATACTAATACATTCATCTCTGCCAGGATGTTTGTTGCAGCTTTATTGATTATGGGAAATCATTGGTAACAAAGTACATGTGTACAACATGTTTACCATTAGTTGAGACAGTTTTATACAATGAAATAATATGCAGCAATTTCAGAGAGGCTAAATATATGCCAGTTGACTTGACTTTCACTGTGTGCTCTAAGAAAACTAAAGTTATGGTGTGTTATATATAATTTGGACCCAGTTCTGTAAAGAAAATAGTAAACTCTGCTCAGAGCAAAATATATATGTATTTAAGTATCATTCAGTGAGCAATATTTTTCCATCATTGTGGAATGGAGCTGAAAGCAGAGAAAGGAAAAGAGATACATGAAAAAGGACTTTTTTTTTTTTTTTTTAAGAGAAAATGGTATTATGGTTTAAAAAGAAAAAAAAAAACAGCAGTGTAGAATGAGCTAGCCATGTTTGGGTGGGTTTTGTTTTGTTTTGTTTATTTAGAGACAGAGTTTCTCTGTGTAGTCCTGGCTGTCCTGGAACTCACTCTGTAGACCAGGCTGGCCTTGAACTCACAGAGATCACCTGTCTCTGCCTCCTGAGTGCTGGGATGCCGAGTTTCTATAGGATGGACTGTGCATGCATTCTCTTCTAACATGAAGTGTGATCATCACACCTTTTCTTTGAACATTTTCCCTGTTTTGCTCTTTGACCTAGGTTGGTCCAGATGGTTTGATGAAATTGAGTGGCTCAGCCCTTAACAATGAGTTCTTCACTTCTGCAGCTCAAGGCTGGAAGGAAAGGCTCTCAGAAGGTAAATATTCTGCCCTGTGGCTCCCAGGGTCTGTATGCCTAGGTACTGAAACAAATTTGGAAGGTGAATGTATTTATCAGGGCTCTCCAGAAGAACAGAACCTGTAGAATGAATGTATATAAAGGAGGTTTATTAGCATGGCAGGAGTGGTCCAGCTAGTTCAGCTGTCTACCAGGGGAAGGGCCAAGAATCCCAAAGTGATGCCAGTGAAGGAATGGACTTGCCAGCAGGAGCAAACAGACAGAGTGAAAGCTCCCTTCTCCCATGTCCTTTATATAGGCTGCCACCAAAAGCTGTGACCCAGATTAAAGGTGGAAAGTCCCACTTCAAATGAGTTAATTAAGAAAAAACATTCTTCACAGTTGTGCCCAGCCACTTGGGTTTTAGTTAATTCTAAATGTAGTCAAGTTGACAACCAAGAGCAGCCATCATAGTGAAGGTTAAGAAGTTTCCTAAACATAAACTCTCTGTGAGTTTGAGGCCAGCAGCCTGGTCTACAGAGCAGGTTCCAGGACAGCTAGGGCTACATAGAGAAACCCTGTCTCAGAAAAAAAAAATAGAAAAGAAGAGAAAAAAAGGCCTCAAACACAGTTTTCTTTGAAGAAACCTAACTTTGAAATGACAAGATATTTGATGACATTATTTGTCACTACTCTGTTTGGCAGTGGGCCTTGGGAGAACGGAGCTGATAAATGAAAAGGACTAAAGTCTCATGCAGTAGCCAGTTTTAGAGCGTGGGACAGTTCATACTCTGAGGATTAAGAGGAATCACATGAGTAAAGGGTCTAATCACAAGGACAAGCTGTATGTGGCGGACAGGCAGCACATGCAAAACCCTGTTTTTCCATAGAGGCGTATAAACAAATAACAGTGGCCATTGTAATGAATAATCGGAAGTAAAGTCACTCCTATCCAATACATGCGGGAGGGGCAGGAAAGCATAATCCAAGCAGTTCTGTGCTTTTGAAGAAACTATGGTCATAAGACTCCTGTTTTCTTGGAGTTTTCTCACAAGCACTCAGAATTTTCCTCACATGACTCCATTAGACTATGTTCCAGTACACATTCATTACTTTCATTCCATTAGGAAATAAACTAAAACTTTGAGGTTAGAGGTGAAAAAAATCTCTGTATGGTGTATGATGTTTGTAACTGGAAGAGTATGCTTTGGGGAACAAGCAGAGAACAAGTTCTTTGGGCCTTAGCTGCACATTGAAAACTCTAGGATAGTGTGTGCCTGGACTCCACCTAGTGGTGTTTCTGTCTATCTGGCTTGGTTCTTTGGGACGCTTGTTGCTTTGACATGATAGTATTTTCTGTTCCTATAAGAGTCTTTGATGATTAAAATCCATGAATAATGCTTTTTCGTTTATGTCATTTTGTTGATCCATTGCAGGCGAATTTACTCCTGAAATGCAGGTGAGAATTCGGCAAGAGATTGAGAAGGAGAAGAGAGTAGAGCCATGGAAGGAACGATTCTTTGAAAGCTACTATGGGCAGAGGTAAGAGACGGCCGACAGACTCTGTAGTCCACATGTGCGTTCCTACATGTGTCATGTGATGCTATGGGCAGAGGTAAGAGACGGCCGACAGACTCTTTAGTCCACATGTGCGTTCCTACATGTGTCATGTGATGCTATGGGCAGAGGTAAGAGAAGGCCGACAGACTCTGTAGTCCACATGTGCATTCCTACATGTGTCATGTGATGCCTCCACATTTTTACCTAATTAGAAAGTCTAATCCTAGTTTCCTGTAAGTTTTATCACATTAATTCTTTTTCATTCAGAACATTCGCCTTTTTTTTTTTTTTTTTTTTTTTTTTTTTTTTTGGTTTTTCGAGACAGGGTTTCTCTGTGTAGCTTTGCGCCTCTCCTGGAACTCACTTGGTAGCCCAGGCTGGCCTCGAACTCACAGAGATACGCCTGGCTCTGCCTCCCGAGTGCTGGGATTAAAGGCGTGCGCCACCACCGCCCGGCTTTTTTTTTTTTTTTTTTTTTTAAAGAATTACGTGTGGAGCTGGGCGGTGATGGCGCACGCCTTTAGTTCCACTACTCAGGAGGCAGAGCCAGGTGGATTTCTGTGAGTTCAAGGCCAGCCTGGTCTACAGAGCGAGTTCCAGGACAGGCTCCAAAGCTACACAGAGAAACGCTGTCTTGAAAAACCAAAGGAAAAAAAAGAGAGAGAGAATTTCGTGTGGACAGAAATTTATCACTAGTAATCCTTGATCCTTAACTTACATTGTTGGCAGAATAGGTTCCTCTCCCTTAAAAAAAAACGAATTGGATTTTCTTCTTCTTTTTTTAATCTTACATTAGAGTCTTTCCTTGGAAAAGACTGGCTTCTAGTAATTTCGTGAGTTAGAATAATACTTGAGAGTTCTGTGCATTTTTATAGTGATTGTCTAAAATGTAACTTATTCAAAACTAGTCAGGAATTCTAAGAATCATGTAATGTGGGCCATTTTGCCAAACATGTAATTAAAATCCTTTCCTCTGTGACGGGGAGATATGCATCACTGAATCAACACACAAATTTTAGGGCTGGTGTCTGAAACAACTTTTTTTTTTAAACAACAAAAAAAAATCAGCTGGGCCAGCAGTGGTAGCGCACGCCTTTAATCCCAGCACTCAGGAGGCAGAGGCAAGCGGATCTCTGAGTTCGAGGCCAGCCTGGTCTACAAAGCGAGTTCCAGGAAAGGCGCAAAGCTACACAGAGAAACCCTGTCTTGAAAAAACAAAAGAAAAAGAAAGAAAAAAAAAAATTAGCTGGGCAGTGGTCATGCTCACCTTTAATCCCAGCAGAGACAGATGGATCTCTGACTTCCAGACCAGCCTGATCAACAGAGTGAGTTCCAGAACAGCCAGGGCTACACAGAAAAACCCTGTCTCGATAAAACAAAACAACACAAAAAAGAGAATGCAATTGTACTGGAGACATTTAATTGATAATAAAGCCATTTGCTTTGAACAGGATTGCATATTCCAGCTCCTGTTTGTTAGTCTCCCTTTCCTCTTTCCACATCCCAGTAAAGCCAGTGAGAGGACTCCATTGATCACAGACTGAGAAATGAAGGGCTTCTCTTAGCTCCAGGTAGTGTTCATGGACCACCTTCCTTCCTGGTCACTTAAGAAAGACCCCTACTGAAATTAAGAGTCTCAAATGCTAGCCGGGCAGTGTGGGCGTACACCTTTAATGCCAGCACTCGGGAGTCAGAGGCAGGTAGATTTCTGAGTTCAAGGCCAGCCTGGTCTATAGAGTTTAGGACAGCCAGGGCTACATAGAGCAAAACCCTGTCTTGGGGAGAAAAAAAAGTCTCAAATGCTGATTGTCCTACATTAAGCTATAAAGTTGGTAGTCTATTATTATAAGTTACAGGGATTCTGTGGGTGTATATGCTGCAGTGTGCTTTTGGAGATCAGAAGGCAGCTTTTGGGAGTTGGCTTTCTCTACCACATGAATTTCCTGGTTCAAACCTAGATGACCAGGGAAGCACTGTTTTTCTTCTGAGACATCTTGGTGGCCCTAGATAGACTATTTTTATTACTAATTCTTTAAGGCGACAAAGATGGTTTAATTGATTGTTGCTTAGAAAGAAATATTAAGAAGTCATTGGTGACACTTTTTGCCAGGCCACGGTGTGCAAGCCACAGCACACAACCTCAGAACTTTGGATCTAGACTAAGTAGGATTTAGACAGCCTTTCTACAAACTCAATTCTGTCTGAGCTGAAGAATTTGATAACTTTTCTGCTGTCTTCTCACTTTGCAGGTTTCCCTCAGAAGTCTTGGGTCAGTCTTGCCACAAACATTGGTGAACAGGGTTGATCCCAGTTCCAACCTAAGTCTCAGGTTCTTGTAGGTAGCCTGTGAGTCTCTACATACTATGGCTCCTATAGAAGCAAAAGTGACAATACCAGCCACCACTATAGAACTTTGTGTGCCAAGTGAGAACTTGACATGGAGTTAACTTTATCATAGCAATGTTGAAATTCTTAATTCCAGTGTACAATTAAAGAAATTAAGGTGCAGAAGCCTAGTCAGTCAGTATCTTGTCTACAGTTGTTACCAGAGCCAAGATTTGAATTTAATTGCTTTGGCTCAAGAGTTCTACAGAAAATATCTGTGTTGGGGGTTTCCTAGTTACTGATATAGTCTACTTTTCTTGTGTATTAAGTAATGTGGACTATTTCCCAACTAACAACGTTTCCTTCAATTTTTTAGTTCTGGCTTAAGCCTTGAAGATTCACAGAAACTGACAGCTTCCCCTAGTGATTCCAAAGTAAAGAAAACCCCAGCTGAGCAACCAAAATCCTTATTTCCTTCAGAGGCCTCTCCTGTCAGAATCATCCCAGTAGTTCCTCAGTCAGAGTGTAAAGAAGAAACAGTGCAAATACTCTCACCATTCAGAAAAGAAGAAAGCCAAGACGAGGCACCGCCAACCTCTAAATCCCCAGAACCCATCCTTGCATCAGCCAGCAATACAAGTGAGTTTATTACCATGAAGTCCACCAAGTGCCCTGAGGATGAGGGGCTCTTAGAGCAGAAGCCAGTTGTCTGTGCTGAACAGGAGTCTGAGAAAGAAAATCATGTCATCACAACTTCTAACTGTAACAGAAGTGAGAACCAAGAAGTGTTAGCTACATCCCCAAGCAAATCTAAAAATGCTGGGTTAGAAAAACCCGTAACAAAGCCTGTTGAAGAAGCAGGTCCACTGAACCCTGATATGAAGATGCCTCCAGCAACTCTTACTGATCAGATCCCAGAAAGTCTCAAAAGGAAATCTTCTCTTACCCAAGAAGAGGCCACTAGCAGCTGGGAGAAAAGACCACGTATCACGGAGAATCACCAGCACCAGCAGCCATTTCCTGTCTCGCCACAGCCCTTTCTTAGTAGAGGGGACAGAGTCCAAGTGCGAAAAGTACCACCTCTCAAGGTAAGAAAGTGGCTGTACCTACTAGGTTTCACAACTGTGCTATTATCATAGGTTTCACAACTGTGCTATTATCATAGAAGCAGTAGCATATATTTAATACACATATAACCATGGTATTATATAAATAGTGAAAATCGGGCTCTACGCCTGTGTGGCCTGGGCAGGCTTCTCCATGATGGGTAAGGTGACCTGCTGACGTCCCACGCAACCTAAGTCAGAAGCTCATTTTTTAGTAAAAGGGGGACCTGTAGGGCCCTGGCCCCCGTTTTGGGTAGCTGTTGCCTTGCTTGCTGACCTTGACCTTAATGTCCTCCCTATGCTAATTCCCTGCCGGGTTCCACCCTCCTGAATGTTTAAGGGAACTTCCTTGTCTGTGTATCCTGCATAATGTGCGTTAACAGCTTAGATGCAAGATTGTAAAACATCGGTAGCAAACTTCTGCCCTCCGGGTTTCTCCCATTGTGCTGTAAGCCTGTATTTAAGACCTCCTCCCTCCTTCAATAAACGGCATTTATCAAAAAAAAAAAAAAAAAAAAAGGTTCCTAGAACTACACTCCTGTATCTACACATGCACACATGTATGTAAACTGGTAAAAGTCCAATAAAGTTCTGTAATAGCCTGGGGGGGGGGGGGCGAGAATCAGGCTCTAGAACTGCATCCCTCCCAGTTCTTTCTTGATATTTGAGTAAGGAGTCTGAGTACAGAAACCCCCAACACTCCTCTTTGAGGCAGTCTCCATACATAACTCAGGCTGGCATTGAATTCTCGGTCTTTTCCGTTGCTGCTGCTTGAGTATGAATTATTGACCAAAAACTTGTCTTTAGTGAATGCCAGAACTCAAGTTCTGCCTGCCTCTTTAGGGAGTAAAGGCATGTGCCACCACTGCCCAACTCAGAAATGAATTCTAGACCTAGGAACCATATTCCGTTTTAATTTAATTCAGAATGATTCTACACTGAGCACTTGAACCCATTCTGACCAGATTACTAGAATTTCTCCTTCCTAGGATTTTGTCAGAAGTTGTTTACTCTTTTACCTGATACCCTGTCTAGCTTTCAGATGTAGCTAGAGTTTTCCTGCCTGGCCCACAGTCAGGACAAATCTCTCTCACCCGCCAGTCCCACAGCCGCTCAGACCCAACCAAGTAAACACAGAGACTTATATTGGTTACAAACTGTATGGCCGTGGCAGGCTTCTTGCTAACTGTTCTTACAGCTTAAATTAATCCATTTCCATTAATCTATACCTTGCCACGTGGCTCGTGGCTTACCGGCATCTTCACATGCTGTTTGTCATCATGGCGGCTGGCAGTGTCTCTCTCACCCAGCTTCCTGTTCTCTCCATTCTCCTCTCTGTTAGTCCCGCCTATACTTCCTGCCTGGCCACTGGCCAATCAGTGATTTATTTATTGACCAATCAGCAACACATTTGACATACAGACCATCCCACAGCATTCAGAGACACAGCTTAATAGAGTTTATAACAACAAATGTTTTAGGCAGTTTGTTTCTATATGCCTTTAATACCAGCACTGGAAAGATAATGCAGAAAGATAGTGAATTGACTAAACCAGTGAGGCCTCATCACAACACAACAACAACAAAAATAAAGAGCTTTTGAAACAAAATTGGAATTTTAGATAAATGTTACAACTTGATGTATTTTGTTTGTTTTAAGGTATATTTAAACTAAAAGAATCTAGCCGGGCGGTGGTGGCACATATCTTTAATCCCAGCACTCAGGAGGCAGAGGCAGGCAGATCTCTGTGAGTTTGAGGCCAGCCTGGTCTACAGAATGAGATCCCGGACAGCCAGAACTACACAGAGAAACCCTGTCTCAAAAAAAAAACAAAATACAAAAAAAAAGAAAGAAAAAGTAAAAGAATCTTAATGACTTTGCTCGGTGTGTGTCCACTCAGTATTGTTATCCATCCCTTCCACTATAGAATGGTTTATATCCTTAAAATATAACATCTCATTAATGCTTCATGAATACAGAAATAATTGACACTTACAAGTAAGAAAACTTTGAACTGCTTTGTTGTTTAATTCCAGTATGTTAGTACTGTTGGCTTTTAAGTTATCTTGTGTTATGTCAGGTAGGGTGACACACTCAGGAGTGTTTTTATGAGCCTGGCGTAGGGACACATACCTGTAATCCGTGCATTTGGGAGGGTCACAAGTCTGAGGACAGCCTTGGTCTACATTAGCACACACTCTACACCTGCACATACCCAGAAGAACGTAGTGCTAGAGGCTCCATGGCCTTATGCCTAAATAAGGTCATTTGTCCTCAAAACAGTTCCTTGTGTTTTCTTTTCTGGTTTTGTCGTTTTCTCCTGTAGTCTCTTCTCTATATTAAAAAGAGGCAATACTTGCTTCTTTCTCCTCCATGCAACTTAAAATCACTGTGTGCTGAGTAAAAAATGCTAAGCTTTACAACTAAGTAGTAAGCTTTGTTTTGTTGTGTTTTGTTTTTGGTTTTGTTTTTTTTTTTTTTAAGATTTATATATTTACTATGTATACAGTATTCTGTCTGCACGTATGACTGTAGGCCAGAAGAGGGCACCAGATCTCATTACAGATGGTTGTGAACCACCATGTGGTTGCTGGGAATTGAACTCAGGACCTCTGGAAGAGCAGTTGGTGCTCTTAACCTCTAAGCCATCTCTCCAGCCCCTGTTTTTGGTTTTTTGTTTGTTTGGTTTTGGTTTGGTTTTTTTGAGACAGGGTTTCTCTGTGTAGCTCTGGTCATCCTGGAACTTGTTCTGTAGACCAGGCTGGCCTTGAGCTCAGAGATCCGCCTGCCTCTGTCTCCCGAGTGCCTGGGATTAAAGGTGTGCACCATCATTGCCCAGCTAAACAAACATAATTTTTAAGTATATCAATTTATCACAACTGTTATAAAATACCACACTGATTTCTGAGGTATAGAGAATTGATTTTAAATACTTATGACTTTTTGAGCAATGAAAAATAGTGACTTCACAATTAATTTATAATTGAAAAATTTATACAAAGATGGCATGCTTTTCTTGGAATTTATTTAATCACTTATTTTTTGAAATTAAATACTCTAGAAAGTTAACCTTTTTTGCTCCTTTAAACTTAGTTATATACTGAGAGGATCCATACAATGAATACATTGTAGTTAATTTCCTTACCTTCCAAAGTTTTATTTAGGACAGGAATCATATTATTTTATGGTATAAAATCCAGTGGTTTCAGCTAGGCATAGTGACACATGGCTTTACCTTTAATAGCAGAGGCAGGGGGATCTCTGTGAATCCAAGGCCAGCTTGGCCTACGTAGTGAGTTCCAAGACAGCCAGGACTACATAGTGAGACCCTGTTTCAACAAAACAAAACAGTGATTTCAAAGTTAGTGGTTTATTACACATTTTTTCTTTAGTGTAATATTCATTTTTCTAACCATTCTGATTCATAAATTGGGATATTGGATCCAAAACCACATGCATTTTAATAAGTTTACACAAATAAGTACAGCATTCCCAGGAGTGAAAATGCTTGGCAGACGTTATGCATGTGATCCCATATGTGGGTAGAGTGGGGCTGAACCCTCAACAACATGTGGTTTTCTGGTTTTTTGTTTTGTTTTTTAGATTCATTTTTTATTTAGTGTGTATGAGTGCTCTATCTGCATTTTTCCTGTATGCCAAAAGAGGGCATCAGATCTCATTACAGATGGCTGTGAGCCACCATGTGGTTGCTGGGAATTGAACTCAGGACCTCTGGAAGAGCAACTAGTGCTCTTAGCGGCTGAGCCATCTCACCCCAACATGTGTGTTCGTAATCATAGCAGCAGTGCATGTCATGCTGCACTGTGCTCATCCACTCTAGTCAGGGCCTAAATTGATCGCTGTCTCCCCCCCCCCCCCCCCCCCCGCGCCCTTTTTTTTTTTTTTTTTTCCAGATTCCAGTTTCCAGAATCTCCCCGCTGCTGCTTTCTACATCGCAGGTCTCTCCCAGGGCTCGTTTTCCAGGCTCCATCACTAGTCCTTACAGAACAGGAGCCAGAACTCTGGCAGACATCAAAGCAAAAGCCCAGTTGGTCAAAGCACAGAGGGCAGCAGCTGCAGCCGCCGCTGCAGCTGCTGCAGCCGCCTCAGTTGGAGGGACCATTCCAGGACCTGGCCCTGGGGGTGGACACAGCCCAAGAGAGGGTGGGGAAAGCAAAGCTGCTGGAGGAGGAAGTCCAGGCTCAGACAGAGCCAGTGCAACTGGAAAGGGTCCCACACTGGAACTGGCAGGAACTGGAAGCAGGGGAGGTCCGAGAGAGCTTTTACCAGGTGGTCCCCAACCTGAGACCAATGCACCATGCCAAGCACAGCCTCCTGGTGTCTCTGGAGCACAACTACAGCAAACCTCCTCAGTGCCTACAGCACTTGCCAACAGTGGAACATGCACAAGCATCCCATTACCACCCCACATAGAGAAATCAAACAGGGAAAAACCGGAACCCCCCAAGGTAACAGCCACAGCAGCCTCTCCTTGCCACCCTCAAGATCTGAGTAGTTGCAGACAGGAGAAAGCTCCTTCTCCAGAAGGGCCTGCTCTGATCTCAAGAGCTTCACCTGTTTGTTTTGTAGCTGATGGCACAGTTGAGCCCACAGCAGGTTCTAGTAAGAATGCACCAAAGCCTTCAGCCTCAGCAAAGGCAGCTGCTTCTGCTCGACTGGATCTGACTTCCCCCGCTGTAACATCCCTGGTGACAACAGCCAGTTTAGAAAAACTCTCTGTAGCCCAGGTCAGTGGAACTTCAGGACCTGCTGGAGCAGCTTCATCCTCAAGCACTTCGCCAGCAGCTTCTAGCCTTAAAACCCCAGGAACTTCTGCAAATATGAATGGACCCATTTCAAGACCAAGTTCTAGTATCCCTGCTAATAATCCTTTAGTTACTCAGCTGCTCCAGGGCAAAGATGTTCCCATGGAGCAAATACTGCCTAAACCTCTCACCAAAGTTGAAATGAAAACAGTCCCACTGACTACGAAAGAGGAAAAGGGGATAGGAGCATTCCCTGGTACCAGTGTGATGGAAAGTAGCACCAGAGAGGAAGTTAATGGCAGGCAGGCCTATCTGGCTATCCAGCAGCTGGGCAAACCCTTGCAGAGTAAGCAGCTTCCCCAGGTCCCAAGGCCAGTCTTCGAAGCTAAGGACCCGAGGGACTCTTGCATTGATGCTCACCAGTACCCAGAAGGACTAAGTAAAACAACTCAAGATCAGCTTTTTCAGACTCTCATCCAGAGGGCTCAGAGACAGAGCGTTCTTTCATTTGTACCACCCTCTCAGTTCAACTTTGCGCACTCAGGTTTCCAGTTGGAAGACGTATCCACAAGCCAGAAATTCATGTTGGGCTTTGCTGGCAGAAGGACAGCCAAGCCTGCAATGGCAGGTCACTATTTACTTAATATTTCCACCTATGGCCGGGGTTCAGAGAGCGTCAGGAGGACACATTCTGTAAATCCCGAGGAGCGACTTTGTCTAAATAGCCCTCCTGAAGACTTGAAGAAGGGATATGCAGATTGTAAAAACACAACTGGAGACAGCAGCAGCAGCAGCAGCAGCAGCAGCAGAGAAGATGAAACTGATGAAGAGAGTGTGGCAGACGAGCAGGAGCCTGTGTCAGTGAAGGAGGAGCCCTGGGCTTCTCAGAGTTCTGGCAAGCACCCCCACAGTGGGGAAACACCATCCACCAATGATTGTTTAGCCAGCAAGAATGGTAAGGCTGAGGCCCCAGTGAGTGAGCAAACCACTTTAGGCAAGGAGAATTACATATTCTCTAGAAGCCAGACATTGGATGAAAAGACCCTAGCAAGAGATTTTATTCAGGCAGCACAGAAACAGATGGCTCACGCAGTGAGAGGTAAGACGGTGTGTAGCAGCCCTGAGCTTTTCAAGTCAACTGCTCTTTCTCTCCCTGCAGACAGTCCCACGCAGCAGCCTCTCCTCCTTCCCCCTCTGCAAACCCCCAAATTGTATGGAAGCCCCACACAGATAGGGCCAAGCTATAGAGGCATGATCAATGTCTCCACCTCATCAGACATGGACCATAGCTCTGCTGTACCAGGTAGCCAGGTAGCCAGCAATGTAGGAGATGTTATGTCATTTTCCGTGACTGTCACTACCATCCCTGCTAGCCAAGCTATGAATCCCAGCAGCCACGGCCAGACACTTCCTGTGCAGGCCTTTCCTGATGAGAACAGCATCGAGGACACACCTTCAAAATGTTACTGCCGCTTGAAAGCCATGATCATGTGCAAAGGATGTGGAGCTTTCTGTCACGATGACTGCATTGGCCCCTCCAAACTGTGCGTCTCCTGCCTCGTCGTTCGGTAATGAGACTACAGCTGTGTAAAGGAGGGGAAGGGAGGCTTAACAAGACATGGTCGTGCACCCTTTGAAATCACAGAAATAAAGTTGCAGTTGTCTCAAGAGACGTTAATCAGGAATGCAGAATGCAGGTCTTCAGATTTACAGGAAGAGCACCTTGTATAGTAAGTCTTAGTCGAGTAAGGACTATGAATTGGTGACAAGTTTGCACTTAAAAAATCATGTAAATATGTCACATTTTGTTTTAACATTGTTTTCCAAGGATTTAGGTAATGATGTGTTAACTTTACATTCAGATGTATGTTCCATTTCTTTTGACTCTGAAAATAGTTGAGTGGTGTGCATGGTGAAAGATAACTGTGCCTCCGGCCTTTCCCAGGGTGGGGAAAAGGGAAGAGTGGTCAGGAGGTGACCATCATGCTGGTTATGTCTGCACAGGCTGGCTGCAGGTTCTTCACAGATAACATGCCTCTGACAGATTTGGATTGCGGCTTTACTCATCCTTTTGCTTTAGGTGGAACCATTTTAAGTGGAATTTTTAAAAAGGTATTAACTTCCCAGACAGTGTTTTTGATCCTGACAGTCCTGGCTGAGCTTTTGGTCCATGAATCAGTACTGTTGTCAAGCAGAGCTCTGCTGTTTCCTAGTCAGTGCAAGTTATTTAAGAAGGACTCCTCTATTAGTCTAGTTGTCATGGCATTAGTTCCAGCAATAATACATCCTGACACTGTATCATTCCTGGGCTCCCACAGACAGGTCTGAAATACCAGTGTAAAAGAAAATGCACACACACATTAGTGATTGGGGTGTGTGTGTGTGTGTGTGTGTGTGTGTGTGAACTGTGTCTTGTTGGCGAAGGGGAATGAAGAAACAGCTGAAACTTAACCTTCAGGAATTGGAAAAGTGATTTTAACACTGGACACAAAATACTTTCTTTTCCTCGTCTCTCAAACCATTCCAGGTAGAAAGGCTCTGTAGTGGTACCTCTTTGCTCCTTTGACATCCCAGGCATGAGAGATGGATGCAGTGATCTTATGCCATCCTACCACAGCACATGTTTGCACCCCACACGTGGAGAAAGAAGACAGTGTGCTGCTTTAGAAAGTGAGTCTACTGTTCTACAGTTTCTGCTCTCAGGACAGCCGGGATGCCCAATGGGAAAGAAGGGGCATTATGAGTGACTAATCAATTATCTGGCTGTGAAATTTTACAATTTTTCTTTCTTTTTGATGATTATTCTTAAAATCCTTTTCTAGCACTCTGGAGGCAGAGGCAGACTGATCTCTGAGTTCAAGGCCAGCCTGGTCTTCATAATGAGTTTCAGGACAGCCAGGGCTATATAAAGAAATCCTGTCTCCAAAAACATAAATAAATAAATTAAAGAAGTCTGTTTAAAAAATAAAACAAAAATAAAAAACCTCTAGTTGGTGGACATAGTGACACATACTTTTAATCACAGCACTTGGGAGTCAGAGTCAGGTGGACTTCGGTGAGTTGAAGTCCACCTAGCAAGTTCAGGGTACACAATATGACACTGTCTTTAAAACAAACAAACAAGCCGGGTGGTGGTGGTGCACACCTTTAGTCCCAGCACTCGGGAGGCAGAGCCAGGCGGATCTCTGAGTTCAAGGCCAGCCTGGGCTACAGAGTGAGATCCTGGACAGGCACCAAAACTACACTGAGAAACCCTGTCTTGAGAAACAAAACAAAACAAAACAAAAAATGAACTAGTTACAACCTTTAAGCAAATACTTCTAAGTTACAGTTAAAGACAGTTTCAGGAAAACATCAGTTCACCAGGTGTTTTGATATCAAGTAGTCTGTATTGTTTGATTTCAAGTCTCCTATTTGAAGTGTGTGATGTAATACTACAGCCCAGTACAGGTGGGTTTCAAAAGCTATTTATAAAAACTCAGGACAATTTAACCCTGTCACTTACATCCCAGGAAAGGAGACAGTAATGTGTTTGCCCGCCCACCTTGTGGTGCTCACCCCTGGCCATCCTGCTTCCTGCATCACACACATGTGCTTCCTTAGTCCTTGCTCCAGACTCTGAAACTCACTCTTCCTTTTTCTTTCCTGCTCTCATGGCCCTAAACAATTCCAGGCTTAAACTCTGTGTTCCAGAACCAGTCAGGACAGTATGATGTCTTTCCATCTCCCCTTTACTCCAGTGGAGGCACAGCTGAGAGAGAAGAAAGGCTGCAAGGATTCCGGGTTAAGAAGTGAGTGTGTTCTGAAGTGAAGGATCAGTAGGAAATAGAAGCCAAGGTTACGCTCCCAAACCTTCAGGACCTTGGGTAGTCCCCATGGGACCTTAAAAGACCCATAGCTGAGTAGTCTTCTTGTCTAGCCTGCTGGAAGAGAAATTCAGAATGGACGTCATGCTGAATGTCAGTGGCTAGTTTGTATTGGTGAAAGTAATTTTTCTACCTTCTACCTTGCTCACTAGAAAGGTTTTGCTCCATGGGTCCCTTAATCTGAGAATAGATGGACAGGAGGAAGACATTAGGGACCGTCAGGTCCATTTAAAGAGGAAACCACATTGTTCCTCTGCTCTTGATCCAAAGCCAGGCCATATAGGGCCTAAGTATTGCTCTTCATCTGACTCCACTAAGTAACACCCAGCTAATTTGCATTCTGCTATTCCAAAAGCAGAACTTGCCAGCTAGGTACACTGCCTCAGACTTGAAAAAAAAGAATTTTTTCCATAGATTGAAAATATATTAAATATGAATCTATTTAAATGGTTTGTTTTAAAACACGGTTCCAGGTAGAAGAGGAATCTCCATCTTATAAATGAACAGAAAAGAAAAATTTGTCTGGCCCTTTAAGTTGAATTTGGTATTCCAGTACTTGTTAACACATTTTTTTATCATAACTTTTAAATTATTTTACCTTAAAATTAACACTGAAGTGGTTCGATAAGTGTTAAGCTTATCCTTTGGACTTTAGGTGGTGAAGTTTTAAATATCATACCTGATACACATGCCAGTGTGCCCCTCCAGCCTTCAGGTAACCACTTGTGCAAGTCACCTCTGGGAGAGTATTTGTGACATGTCATCTCAGGGTCAGTTAAGTGTTCTCAGCTGCCTAAGTAGAACACTCCCTGAATCATAAAGGATTTTTTAATAATCAGAACTCTTTATCCTATTAATTTAAGGGGCAGAACACAAATAACCTGGAGTCGTTTGCCCTGCTTCAGTTCCTTAACCCCTGTGCTCAAGACACTGAAGCTGTCTCCGATGTTCTGTGTAGCATTTCTTAAGAGTAAGAGCTGGCAAATGAGGGAGCTTTTCTTGGGGTGGGGAGGCTGCACTTCCTGGGTGTAGAGATGTGGATATTTGAGACCCTGTCTCAAATGTAGATTAACAGCCAAAGGAAGACTTCACTGCCTTCCAGGTGAAGGTATGATGTCCTGCATAGAACAGGCCCATCAGTTACCATTCTGATTGCTCCCTACTACTTCCCTCCACTTCAGGAAATCTTAATAAGCTCTTCGATTAAGTTGTTTGTTAGAATGAGGGACTTCCTTTGGTCGTTATACTGCAGTTTGTTTTAGAGCTCATTGTTAATGAGCAGTGGCAGTTTTTTTTCTGACTTCACATAACGAGAAGGAAGCGTCCCATTGCATTACAACAGTGTGTGCAAGTGGGAAGCTTGGCCATGGGTAGTTTGCAGCTCCATTTATAGAACAGTCCAAAGAGACTTTGCAAAACATGATGACAGGCAGGGACCTTTTCCTATGTGTTTCAATACCTACAAACCTATTGAACAGAACAGTAGGTAGACATTTCCTAAAGCTGAAGCAATAGCTTCATAGAGTCTTGGTTACTTTATTTTTTTTAATGCTTTACATTTGATACAACTATTAAAGATCGATTTTAAAATAACTTTCCAGTAATATATTTTAAGTAATATATATTTTAATATCTATGTAAAAAGTGACGGTGGAAGACTGAGTTTCTCATATATGGTATGTTTAATGTAGGATCTCACTGTTAAGGCACAAATTATTTCAAAGAAGTTACTCTAAAAACACTCAGATTATTTCCCAAAAGAAAAGAAAAAGAAAAATGCAATAAGGGGAATGATTTGGGGGCTTTATTTTTTATTTTAAAAGAAAATTGACTTATTTACCACAAGCTATTTTTTTCTCTCTGGTGATAAGGTTTGTACAGACTGGTTTGGTAAATGCTAAATTTTTGTGTCTTTTGCCTTTTTAAAGGAATTGTTAACATTGGAATTGAGGGTATGTACAGAGAAGTTGGTGTCGACGCCATTTAATAAGTCATATTTTTTCACAAATAAGGAAAAATCATTTTAATAAGAATTTTAAGTATTTGCAATAAATATGTATATAGATTGTATGTATTCATATATTATTTTTCATTTTATTATTAAGTAAAAGATAATTAAAAGTGAAATTTAAAACCTTGTAGTTTTTGATGAATCTTGAGAGCTCACATCTGAATGTGACATGGGGAAGGGCCCTCAAATAGTTGCCTTAAACAGGTTATGGGGAGGTCACCACAGACTGGGGAAGAGCAACTGAGGAACTTGGACATAAGTCAGGGTAGTATATTTGAGAACGTAAGTAAAAATATGAAACCTCCATCGTTTATGTCTTGTGTTTTCGACCTCCTCTGTTCTTCTACCCACCTTAACGTCACTGAAGAGTGAGAAAACAGTAGTCTGTTGTAGTGTGCCTCGTTTCTTCTAACACCAAGGAAGGTAAGAAGGTGTGTTAGGGGAAACAGGCTTTTCTTTACAGTGATGGATGCTTTGTTAGATGTTGCTGTCATACCAGGCCCTGGGGATGTTGAAGAACCAGCTGCTCAAAGATAGAGAAGGCTTGTTTTCTGTTGTTTAGTCATTCTCCGAGGTGAGTTTCATAGCCAGATTCATGGCCTGCTTGACTGATCTGGGCACGTGGAAGCTGGATCTGCATCAGAAGACCATCTGTGTTGATTAGGTCGTGTTTCCACATGATTGTGAGGATAGCTTGTGTCAAGAAGAGCATTTAGGGAAATGAGCAGTGGCAGAAGTATGAAGTTAATTGTCTTGGGTACCACACCTGGATTACTTTTGAATCAAAGAGAACTCACTTGTGGTTGTAAAATAAATGATTTTAGGGTATAATGGGGAGAACAGAATATCTACATAGATGATCTTAGGGATGAAGATAGATCTCCTGTTGTATAAAATGGGTAATGAAGGGCTGGATAGAATTCATTGATGCAAGTGCGCCCACCTGCTCTTCCTCCTGTATGCTGGGGTTAAAGGTCTGTGCCACCAAGCCTGTCTGCGTAGCTTTTTAAAAGTAACTTGAAGATCCCAACATCTGAGATGGGTAAAAACATTGAAGTTAGTTCAGCCATCCAAGAGGATGGTCTTCCAGATCTCAGTGAAAGTACTATTTCTAAAATAAATTTCTTGGGGCCTTGAAAGAGCTCAGTGAAAGCACCTGCTGCCCAAGCATGAGGACCCAACCGCAGGACCCCAGAACCCAAATAGAAGGTGCATGTTGGTGGCATTTGCCTGTAATAATACCAGCTCTTAGGGAGGTGGAGCAAGTCTGATCTGGAGCTTCCCTAGCCAGTTAAGCTCCAGATTCAGTGAGAAAACCCTGTCTCCAAAAATAAGGTGGAGATTCAACTGAGGAGAACATTCCAACATGAGCCTCTATGCTCTCCATGTGCCCATGCAGGCAAGTGCACTTGAATACATGTGTGCACACACAAAGGAAATTCGTTAACTCGGGACATCTGCGTCATAATTCCTACTCATGAAAGCAATGAAGGTGAGACATTTAAGTGTATTGTGTCCATTAAAATAACTACAATTAAGTAATAGTGCTTATTGAGTTCAGTCACTTCATAAGCAAAATCCATATTCATGTGATATGGGACTCTGCTTCCCAGAGTCTTAGAAACCTATATTCGTTGCTTTTCTACACTACTTTATCTTAACTGATTTTAAGTCACATTGAACATTTCAGGCCTTTTCTATGTAAATCTTGTTACTTAAGTATTTATTGTGTGCTCAGCATTGCTAAAATGCAGGTTATGCAAGAATAAGAAGAAATTCATCATAATGGTTCTTCCTAAAATTGCAGCCATGCAGCACTGGCTGTAGTTTTTAGTGTTCAATTAATCAGTGCTGTGTTTCCCAAAATAAGTATCCATGAGTTGTAACATAGAGGCTTTGAGCACTGGACAAAGCAGTACTGACATGAAGAAAAGATACTCTAGATGGAAGCAGCTACTGTAGTCCTAAGGTGCCACCTTAATAGATGGACCTTTTGGGATCATTGGAATACAGAGGGACAGTCTAAATAAACAGCTTAAGCAAATGCAGCTTTAGGGAACTTTTAAACCTTGTTTCATTTTTTGCTGAGAAGAAACTGAGTCCTTTCATTTGAATTCTTGTGTCCTTGGTTTTTCTCCATAATGAATGGATAGGGTCACTTTAATAGGTAGTCTTAATATTGTAGAATTGCCCTAAGTCACAGAATGATAATACACTTCAGCCTTTTTCCCTAGGCCCAAGTCCTAATTCTTTAGGACTTGCTGGGAGGTAAAAAGTCTTTGTCAGTACTTGCTCTTGAATTTTTCTTACCTCTTGTCTTTAACCAGATGTGTGGGTTCACAACCTGATTTCTGTATGCCAAAATACCTGCATCTACACATCTACACTTCAAAGGGATGCTCAGTGTGTTTCCCCATGTGTGTTTCCCACGCTCTGTCCAGGACACTTGCTGCACCTGGGACATTTCACAGAAGATAGCCTGTAGACTGAGGAATGGGTACTTCCGTATCCAGTAGCTTTCACCCTTCCGCTAAGAAGAGGAGTTCCCAGAAGGCCTTTAGAACAAGAGGAGACCTGGAAAAGCCAGATGATCAGTTGTGGAGGCTGGCGGTGACTAGATAGTGCCTTCTCCCAGGCCTCAGGCTCAGTTTTCTTGTTCTCAAAAGTCAAGCTGAGGGGTAGAAATAAAAGTCAAAAGCTTGATTTTCATCTTAACTGCAAAACTTAAAGGATCCCTTGGGGAGAAGGGTAAACCAAGATGTGGTTTTCAATGGAGCCGAGTGCCTTACTCTTTCACAAGCACTATTAAAGGATTGCAGGTTCATTTAACACCAGTCAACCATGAGTGCTGCATGGACTAAAAGAACAGTCTTCTGTGAATTATGGCAGGGCTTGCACCTCTGTGTCTGTATCTGAACTTTATGAACAGTTTATTAGTCTAACCTAAGCCAACACTCAGTTTTACTAAATTTAATCAAGGTTTTTCTGAATATCTGAAGATATGCTAGAATTTATTTCACACATAGCCTGGGTCTTTCGTATGGAACATGTAGAATATAAAGTTAATTTAAAGACAAGAGTCTAATGGTTTGAAATTACCTAGAGTTTAGGACTGAAATTGGAGTTTCCCCTTGAAGTTAGCAATCCTTTTGCAGTCAAGTTTTCAGGCAGTATTAACATTTAAAGACTTCAGTAGTGACCCTGCTGAACCTGTATGGCATCACTTTAGCACATCTACATGGAGTTCTGCTAGAATCACTGGCTGGTCACCAGTGGCCAGAGGAGAGGGACGAAAGGTAGCATGCCTGAAATTCCCAGCAATTGGCAGGTGAAAGCTGGAAGATGAGTTCATGGTCATCTGCAGCTATGGCAAGCTCAAGGCCAGGCTGGGCTGCACGAGACTGTCTCACGAGGGAATGTCCTGGGCTGGGAATGTGATGGCTTCATCAAACTTGTTCTCAGAAAGATACATGAGACTTCTTGAACATGTGATAGATCTAGAGTACACAACAAATGAATCTCTAGAAGTTAAAAAGCCTTCTGTAGCCGTAAGTGCTTTGATGTGTTTTCAGAACTCCTAATTGGGTTTCTCTGCACACCCTTCACCAGCACCAAGAGAATCCGAACAGAAGAGATGGCCTTAGCATTAGACTTGTTGACCGAAGTCTTTGTGCATGTAGGCCTCAGCACTTTGACATACGAACAGTCTGACTTTCAACTCCACACTATTGTCTGTTCCTCTCACTTTCTACTCTTCCTTTTATTGGTACTATAGAAGCTGTCTTCTTGAAAGTCAATGTATGATACGGTTCTGTCTTAATGACTCCTGTTGAATAAAGGCATACACTTTCACTCTCATTGTTGGGCCTTTTCTTTCCTAAAGGAATGGAACACGTGGTGCATGGCTTACTTGCTGCTTGTCTCTCCCCTGGTTAATCACTTAACAGTAGTGTTTCTTTAGGACACATTCACAAGGAACTCAGGAACTTAATCTGAGCCCAGGCCTGTCTTTAAAAAACAATAGAAAAAACAGTGTTTAGATTGGCTTATTTCACCACCGTTGGCAGTTTGGGGTTTTCACCTCAAGATTACACAGCGTTTTTCTAGACCAATTTGTAGCAATGTTTGGAAGCTTTAGCATACTGTCAAGGGGTCCATCATAACAATTAGTCCTCAGAGATGCAGTGATGAAAATCCCTCTGAGGATTGTATGGGCTCACAGCCAGAAATGTTAATAAAGGACCTTTACAACTTGGCTCTTAACCCTAGTACCATGCTCCCTCCCCTCCACCAGGAAATCCACCACGGGTTTGAGAAGGGAAAAGATCTTGCAGGAGACCACAGGTAGCTTTACACTAGGGGAGAATGGAGATGCAGGTGTCACCGTTGCGGGAAGAACATGTCCTAAGCTGCAGATGCCCTTGGCTTAAAAGACGACCAGGAGAGAAGCCAGGATGGTGCTGGCTATTCAACTGCCTGCAGATGTGTGGGATTGTTAGATTCTTCAACTAGAATAGGGCTTGATTATGATAGGGTGATGGCGGAGGCCAGCCCTGACCTGTCAAAGGATTCTTGGGGGGAGGAATGAGGAAGTATTAGAAATATAGATGGAAACAACGAGAAAGACACGGGATAGCTTAAGGAGGGCCCTGGGTCAATACCCAGTCACCCCCATTTATTTCTAATGGGCTTTTTATACACTAGCAAGGGGAGGGGCAAAAGACCTCCCCCTTTGAAGGTCAAGATATAAAGTATCAACAAGTGTAGACCCTTCAAAACGCCTGGTAACCACACCCTTGGTCAAATTGTCCCATTATGCAGCCCTGCTGGTCAAAGCAAGCTCAGACTTACTGTGGGCCCCTACAGGGTTATTTTAGGTATAGATCTTATATTGTTCTTTCCTGATGGTCACTTCAATGCACATGGCAAAAACTAGGATGGACCACATGACAGCTTTGAATACCCAACACGTGGTGAGGTGAGTGCTGTGACATTTCTAGCACTTTCTTCAGGGTAGAATTAGTGCCAGTAATTGACAGTTTGCGTAGTTTGCATGGATATAGGTGTCTCAATGAGTCTTAAGTATTCCCACGTGCTATAAAAAGCTTGAAGTCTTGGGGGGAGCGGGGGAGCCGGGCGTGGTGGCACACGCCTTTAATCCAAGCAGTCAGGAGGCAGAGACAGGTGGATCTCTGTGAATTCAAGGCCAGCCTGGTCTACAAAGCAAGTTCCAGGATAGCTAGGGCTGTTACACAGAGAAACCCTGTCTTGGAAAAAACAAAAGACAAAACAAAAATAACTTGAAGGAATATAAAGAAAATATTAGTTTTGTCACAAGGAATGAAGAGGTACATTTTCTGGTTTTCAAAACTTGCAGTAAAAGTAAATGTTTTAATTTCCATAGCAAATGTGTTGAAGGAAATGTCCTGTTTTGCTTTTCTGTTACTGTGATAAAACACTAACCAAAAGCAACTGAAGGGATGAATAGCTTATTTTAGAGTACAGGTGTTAGCCTACTCTTGGGGGAAGCCAAGGCAGAAGAAACAACGCAGGAGCTTGAAGCAGAAACCAAACTAAGAACACTGCTCACTGGCCTGCTTCCCATGGTTTGCCCAGCTCGCCTGATTATACAGCCCAGAACCACCTACCCAGGGCTGGCACTGCCCACAGTGGGCTGGACCCTCACGTCAAAAATAAAAGGGAAAACCTCACCCTTCAATGTACAGTGGTGACCTGTCTGCATGGTATGCTGGTGTGATGGTGTGGCAGTGGTGGTGCACACCTGTAATCTCAGCACTCAGAAGGCAGAGTCTCTGTGAGTTCAAGGCCAGCCTGGTGTACAGAGCTAGTTCCAGGACAGCCAGGAATACATAAATAAACCCTGTCTTGAAAAAGTGAAGAAGAAAAAAAGTCGATACCACAAGCTGCTAATCAAAACTAGTTCTGGCAAGAGGCCAGGCCCATCATGTATGGTGTCCCAGAAATAAACTCATAAGCAAATGATTTTCAACATGTCAGTACGGTGGGAAAAGGCAGTTCTCAACAGATGCAAAAGCTTGTTAACCTGATTGTTCCCATTGCAAAATAATGAATGAGACCCTTACCTAACAGACATTAAGTTCTCAGAAGAGAACAAACTGATTTATCATTGGATTTGACAGTGGTTTTCTGAATATGAAAAGCCAAAAAAAGAGAACAGTGGATACAAACTGAGCTTAAGCTGGGCATGGTAGTGCATGCCTTTTGATCCCAGCACTCAAGAAGAAGAGGTGGGCTGATCTCTTGAGTACCAGGCTAACCTGCTACATAGGTATTTCCATGCTACACAGTGCTATGAGTGAGACCCTGTCTCAAAAAGATAAATTTTACATTTTAAAATGGCTTTAAAATTTTTTTGTTCATCAAAGAATGAAATAGAACAAAATAGAACAGTTATCAATAGAATGAAAAGGCAACCTGAAGAATGGCAGAAAATACTTACAAATGGTATCAAATTCTGACTATGAATGAAATATGAATGAATGAATGAATGAATGAATGAATGAATAAATGAATGAATAAAAAAGGTTGGGGGCCGTCTTAGTCACTGTTCTATTACTGTGACAAGACACCATGACCTTGGCAACTCATAAGAGAAAGCATTTAATTGGGGCACGCTGACAGTTTGGAGGTTTAGTCCATTATCATCATGGCAGGGAGTGTGGCAGCGGGCATCATCCTGATCCAAACAGAGAGGTGGGAGAGAGTGTGCCTGCCTGGGCCTGGCATGGGCTTTTGAAACCTCAAAGCCCAACACCAGTGACACACTTCCTCCAACAAGGCCACACCTCCTAATCGGTCTAAACTTTCTCAGCTAGTGCCACTCCCTCATGACTAAACATTTCAATAGATGACCCTCTGGGGGCCAATTCTTACTCAAACCACCACAGGGGCAAAAGACTTGAGCAGATTTTTTTTTTTTAACCCCGAAGTCAACACACAGATGACAAAATAAAAATGCCTCGGAAAAGACAAGGAGAAAATGGAACCCTTATGATGGAAATGTTAAAGACGGTGGCTATTGGGTTAACTCTTCCTGTTTCACCTTTGTGTCAAACACTTAAAGGGAGGAAGTATTTGTTTTAGCCCCTGATTTCAGTCCATGGCCAGCCTTCTCTGTTGCCTCTGGACAACAGTGGTGAGGCAGAGTGTTGTCATGACAGAAGGGATTTGTGGAGCAGAGTTGCTTACTTCATAGCAGAGAAGGGTAGGGTGTGGGGGACAAAGAATATCTTTCCCGCACATGACCCTTGTGAACTGTTTCTTCACCATCAATAGGCTCCATCAATTTTCTATCCCTTCTCTAGGTGGTACCCACCAGCTGGACACTGAGCGTTTAACACAGGAGCCTGAGGGGTACACTACACCATCATGTTCAAACATATTTGTACCCCAGTGTTCGTGATATTACAGTAACCTTAACAGAAGCAACTCAAACATTCACCAACAGACGGCTGGGAAAAGGTGTTTTATAGGTACAGTAGGATATTATTCAACCTTAAACAGAAAAAAAAGAAAGTGATATCTGGCAACATGTTCAACCTTGAAGACAGGCCCAGTAAATAAGCCAGACACAAAATGGACAATTACTGCATGATTCCAGGAATGTGAAACTCCCAGAGGAGTCAAAACCACAGCCAGGAGAGAAAGGCTAGAAGAAAAAGAGTTGTGTTTCATGGGTTCAGAAGTTCTGAAATTTATGGAGAAGTGTAATGTGGTTATAACGATAGTTTTGATTGCCAACTTGCCGCGATGGAACATTATCTAGGAAGAGAGTCTCAATGAGAAACTCCCTTGGTTATGTCGGTCTGTGTACATGCCTGTGATGGGTTTTTCTCAATTGAGGTGGGAAGCCCCACCTTGAATGTGGACGGCCCCATGTCCTGGGCCAGGCCCTAGGTGTCAAGAAGTTGCTGAGCCCTTGTTTGCCTGCGTTGTCCACTCTCTGCTCCTGATTATGGATGTGATGTGACCAAGTCCCTCCAAGCTTCTGCTGTAACTTCCTTTCCTCCTGGATTGCTTTTGTCAGGGTGAGTTATCACAGCAACAGGAAACCAAACTAAAACAGCAGGTTCCATAACAGTGTGAAGGTTCATTATCCCTAAGTAATCATTATTAACTTTTGTGTGTGCCTTATGTGCACACATATGGTCTTGGTATGTGCATGCAGAGGCCAGAGGAAGATGTTGGGTGTCTGACTTTGTTGGTTTCTCTGGTTCCTTTGAAACAGGGTCTCTCACTATATATAAGTTAGGATGGCAGCCAGCAAGCCCCAGTGATCTTTCCTGTCTGCCCCCACCGCCATCACAGCACTGGGGGTTGATATTTGTTATCAGCTTTCATTTCTTTTTTTAAAGATTTATTATGTATCCAGTGTTCTGCCTGCATGCCAGAAGAGGGCGCCAGATCTCATTACAGATGATTGTGAGCCACCATGTGGTTGCTGGGAATTGAACTCATGACCTCTGGAAGAACAGCTAGTGCTCTTAACCACTGAGCCATCTCTTTTGGCCTCGGCTGTTTTGGTTTGGTTTTGCTTTTATCTCCAGTGAGTCCTGCCAGGCAAGCCTTCTACCACTGAGGAAGATCTGTCTCCAGGCCCCTCAACCCAGTTGTTCATCATCCATCTGTGTTGTCAAGTGTATGAAAAGCTGATTCCTCTTTAGTTCTTGTGGGAGGCCTGCTCCCACCTTTTCAAGTGTTCCTATGAGGAGGAGAGAGGAATAAGAAACTTTCAGATAGAAAGATAGCGGAGAGGAGACAGACAGAAACACAGGAGAGCTTCGGGAGGACCTGGATCAAAATCCACCAGCCCAGCT